TGCTAATAATGCGCGAGGACCAATGCCAATGATAATAACCAAAATTGGTTTAATCGTGATTGCTTTAAGGGCCCGTCAATGCTTGAAATTTCAGCGACGATAATTTAAGCCAATTTCAATTTTTCTTAAAATTTGCTTTCAATAAAATCCTTGTTGAAATCCTTAATAAACGTTAATATTGAATAATCGACTCTATGTAATTAGCAACGCCTAATTTCAACAATGATTAAAAACGTTTCTTTGTATTAATAATTGACCAAGCGAATGATTTTAATGCGCCATTCAATTTCCATTCTGATATTACACGTATTGAATTGCGAATAAAAGTTTTTTATCAATCATGTTACAAGTCATGATGAATCGAGGAACGTAATTTTCTTATATGATACTGTGGACATACCTTAGCGAACATATTGATGCTGGTTTGATTCGATTTACCTTTCGTATTGGAATGGTCGAAACTATGCTCTTGTTCGGAAGTTCGGATTCTTTTATACAAGAGGCTCCGCCCAAGAATTCGCCCACGTGGGTTTTCTCGGACCTTGAATTTACTTGTGAGCAAAAGGGAGAATACTTTCGCTGAAACAATATCTGTTAGCGGCTATTGAAGGAACAATTTTGTCTTGTTATTGCAACTCTTCTTGCTAGACGTTAATAAGCTATGATCATTGCTATGATCATGTCATTGTTATGAAAATATAAAGTACATTTATAGTTTTAAATACATATAAGTCTGGCTCGTAATTTCGTTTTTTTTTTTTTTTATTTGTTTTTAAGGAACGCCCGTTTGTTTTATTTTAACAGAATTTGCACTCTTAATATAATATTAATGAATATTTTAATAAACAATTATTTTAAGCCAAAAGAATGCTCTGTATATAGCTATAATGAAATAATTAAAATCAATAGACATTTCCAAATTTTTAAAAATTTCATAGTATTATTAACAAGTATTAAATAACTAGTGAAACTATTAATAGCCAGTATTAATAATGACAGTATTAGTAACAATTATTAATAATATAGTTTTCACAACTTGTAATATTTATTATGATATAAGATTGAATATATGAATATCGAAATTATTACTCATTTACTTTATTCCCGTTCAATTTCCATTTTTATATATATTATTTTATAATATTTTACATGCAAACTTTTATTTTGTTATATAGTATATTTCATTCAAATTCATACAAATTTCTAATACTCAATTATAAAAAAATGTTATCCTTCATACAGAATAAAATTTTCATAAGCAAATACAAACATTCTAAAATCATTTAAATGATTTTAAATTTTTAATGCTAACTTTATTGCCTTTATGTATTTCTTTTTTAATTAGATAATAGTATTTTTTTAGAAATCTAAACATAATTAATATTAAGTATTTCTTATACTGTATTAACGTGATGAGGTTTTAATAAGGTTGGACGATATAGATATATATATATATGTCGTACAACTTTTACTCCCAGTTTTCCCTTGAAAAAGGGTAAAAGTAAACGAACAGAATCAACCGTGAGCATTTCAGAAAATAACGTACCTTCAAGAACATTTCAATGCCATTGGATAGTAACAGCAATAATAACTTTAAAAGTAATATATGTTTAGAACACCATAATGTAAAAAATTGTTATAAATAAGGTAAGAATTCCAATAGTGGAGGCATTATGTTTTCTGGAATGATCTATGAGTCCTTCAATATTTAATATTATACAATTAAGTCTTTATTACAAGATAACTAATTATTAAAAGACTAATCTAAATTATTAAATTAATTTCTTCAGAATATTCTATTCTTAAAACATATTATAATGCAAATACAGATTACTTCCAAGTGTTATTATACGTCATTTTAAATAATAATAAGTATTATTATTGCTGACAATGCGGTTATGATATATATATATATATATATATATATTTATATATAATGTAATGAAATTAACACAAACAAAGAGGCAATCAATTTATTTTTAATATTTAATTCTTTTGATAAAATAATCATTTAAGAGAATTTAATTTTATAAATTATTGTTATTTTATTACATTACATGTTCATTGTTTATTTTCTATTATATTTATATATTATTTATTAATTAAAATCAATTATAATAAAAATTGTTGACAGTGCTATATAGGAACAGGACAAATACTATTATATTTAATATTGATTTCCAAATTTTTAACCGTTTACAGTACTTTTTACTATTTATATTCAGCACAAGTGTCGCATTTATTATCTCCACGTTTCTGTAAAACAAATAATTCTACATTTTTGTCATTTATATATTTATTTAAATTATTTTATTCTGTCTTGTTATTTATAATTCGGGTAATTAATACAAAATTACATGTTACAAAAATTTATATACCAGATATAAACAATAGGTAATTGGATATTGAATGGATTATTCACTTTTAATTTATTGTTGCGAATGATATTTAAACTTCTTCACTAACTTTTGTAAAACATTTCAATGAAATTCCTCTGCTAGTGGAATTCGTTAGTGATATACTGATCACACGCCACATGATGTCAAATAAAAAAAACATTAAAATAATAAGAAAGCTAAGAATTCGTCAACTTTTACCGATTGTTTCACAATTTCATCTTCCACATCAAAGCGATTTAAAGAATGCTTAATGCTTAATAATCTCGAAAACATTACGAAATAAAATCACTCGAAAAATACGTGCGCATACTGGATCTAAAAAAAGTTTAACGCTCAGTGTTACACCTTGTATTTACGAATTGTAGTTTTTAGTTGCATCATCACGCCTTAACAGCTTTGAGCACTTCTTATCCGCTCGCTCCATGAAGATCGTAATCCAGAGCAAAGAGTCGTAAGAATTGCTGCCAGCGCCCCTTGAATTTACACTCCGAAAAAAGCAATTTTCCAAGATTCCTTTATTCCATCTCTAGCAACGTCAATAGTTTTGTTATCTTTCGATCGCAATTAAAATTTTATTTAGGGACCAAGGTATCGTGGATGACGATTTTCAACTGCATTGAATTCAATTGCAAATTGTACTAAAATGAAATTCTGGTTTTCATTATATTTTCATAACTTTAGAAAACTTTAATTGCAATTATAATATTGAGAAAGTTTTTATTTCTATTGTCTTAAAGACACGATTGCGAATCCAAACTTGATAAAACATTTTTATAGATAATATATTCAGAATACCTTTGACAAATCACTATTTCATAAATTTATGTAATTCACAATACTATTATCTATCTAATTTGTTTATTATTACATCAACAAATGTTTATGATCGTAGCAATTATTATATCAATAATTTATAAGATTATATTTAAGGATTATGTCTATTTGGATTTGCGAGTATCTAATATTTGAATATATAAGTCAAATAAATAAATGCTTTATATTATATATAATTTAAAATGTATGAAAATCTAAGTGTATGAACCATTCTAGTTTATAAATATTTATAAGAATAATAAGCATTAAATTACCCGATGAATCTCTTTTAATTCATTCAAAGTGAAATAGTATTGTATTAATTTCTTATGTATCGAAATTAATCGAGATGATTAAACTGACGAATGTATTTTCAAAAGAATATTGATGAATAGATTTCAAAAATCTATTACAATTTTAACGTATTTATGATAATTCATGATGGTAGCGTAAAATGTCAAAAATTATAGTACTTATGTTTTTGACTTTTTTGATGTATATATATATATATATATATATTAGTTATGAAAACGTAGAAGACAATTGAGTATTTTATAATACTTGTATATTAATAATATACTGATTAACTTGTGAAATTAATTTACATTAATATTCAATTATTTATTAAGTGTAATTTATTGATTATAACAAGGATGAATGGGATTTTATTAAGGACGAATGGGATTATATTAAGAAAATGTCCTCACAAGGCTTCGATACAAATAGATTTATTATTTAAAACGGATTATAAATGAAATATATCCAATCCTTAAGTTATATGAATTTCAATTACGTAAATGATTGTTGCACAGGAATAAATGGACTAAATAATGGTAAAGGAGATAGCTATTAACAAGGAATTGGCTATTGTGCATAATTGAAATGCGTAAAGCTAATTCTACTGTTTATTTAATTTGCAAAGGTGAAAGATAAAAGAGGCTCAAATTTCTTTAAAAAAAAATTTATATATCTACATTTATTAATAAATAAATATACATTGTAAAGCAGTTTAGTGAATAGAAGCTCAAATCGGCCGCCTTTACGTCAGGGTGTTCACCAGGAGTAGTTGATGCCGACGGGACTCGAGTAGGTCATGTGAGAGACGGCGACAGCCGGGGAGTAGGCAACTCCGAGGAGGCTGCTCCCGTGAGCGACTGCCGGGGCGGCATGGGCCACTGCGGGTGCGGAGTAGGCGAGGGGGGCGGCGTGGGCGAATTGTGGGGCTATAGCGTTGGCCACCGCGGGGGCGGAGTAGGCGAGGGGGGCTGTGTGGGCGAGATGATGAGCTGGAGCGTAGGCCACCGGGGCAATGTGATCGTAGACACCGGCGTTCGTAATACGGACATCGTGTTTGTTGCTGCTGGAGAAGGGGGTGGCGATGCTTTTACTTTGAGTCGAGATGGACTGGAGGTTGCCGGGGCTGCGGTAGACGTTCTCGGAGGTGGCGGTGAGGGCCGGTGCCGAGTAGCTGGTGTAGGCCGGTGCCGAGTAGCTGGTGTAAGCCGGGGCGGCGTAAGTCGCGACTCCAATGGCTCCGGCTCTGGCGATCGCGAGCACGCAACTCAGGACTGCGATCTGCAATTGTTGTTGTACATGGATGGATCAACAATTTCTTACTTTCATTGCTATTGCCAAATTAAAATTAATATACGCAAATAAATATTGATAATTATTTATTATAAGATGTTGGTATAATTGTATACAATACGTTTATTTTAGAGTACGCCTGACCTTTCGTTTCAAATAAAAAATTCCAAATAATAATTAAAGCATTATTAAGCTTGTATATTAGTAGAGAAGTAAGGAGCATTATGCTTCTTTAGCAACATCGTATAGTAGTAGTATATAGTAATTTCTAAAAATAATTTAAACCTTTTAACTGTACGTAGGATGTCAATTATGTGGACGAATGAATGAAAAATAGCAGGTAATGCGAATTAATGCGTTGAAGAATTATTAAAGCTATCGCGTAACGATTCGCTTGAATCAGAGAAAGCAAAAATTGACCAATAAACGAATACGGGTTACGCGTACGGGCAAAAGTTTTACTTCGTAGAATGGCATTTGTATACTTAATACGTGAATGTAATTGTAATGAAATATTTATGGAACTGTGTGTACAATATTTTGGTAGTGAGAATTGCATGAAAATTATTAGAAATTGTCTGTAGTGTAGGAATCGTATAAACTAAGTAAATGAGCGATCAAATTGTCATTGACTCCATCATGTCTCTCCCCTCTCCGTCCACCTCAATCAATGACATTAAGGAATCCAATTTGTCTTAGACAATAATTCATAATCCGCGGTGTTCTTAAATTGAATATGAGCGATCGGAGGTGTCATACGCGATGAATGACATTGGCGAAAAATGGCAAAGGGCTTGCGTACCTTGGTGAACATGGCGGCTGCGTTCGTCTAGATTATATCGTGGGCTGGTTGAGGTGTTGTGGCGAGTTTGTGACTCGAGACTGTGTTGCTCTAGTGAGGCTCCATGTCTTTTATAGCTCGCGAGGAGGACGGTCAAAACATAGTTACGCGAAAGCGAGAGACGCCTAAGGCAAACTTAGACACGCTTTCTCCGGACGGACTGTAAATTCATCCAGCTATGTGGTTGCAGCCTTGACCTTGCTCCGGGCAATATCTTTTAATAAAATTCAAGATCCTTGGTTACCCCGTACCCAGTTATCCTAATCGTCTCTTCCGCGGATCCAAGCAATTATTTTGAACTTGTTTAATTACGGATGTCGTAATGATAAATTCGCACAGTAAACTGATCTCCTTGAGGTTGATTGCTTTTCCGTTTGGTAAATTGCCGTCGATCACCGAACCCAAATCATTCGAGAATAATCTCTTTGATTACCTCACGCTATTCTCATGCTTCTCTGTAAATGTGAATAAGCATTTTTTCACATCTTAATAATAATTTTAGTTGGGGTGATAGAACTTCCTTTGTTCGTCGTAATTTTTCAATTTAAGGTTAGCTTACCTCAACGCTACAGGTAGAATTTATAAAATTTGGATTATTCATGAATTATTATATTTCTACTTTATGCTATTCTAAATAACGTATAAATAATATATACTTTTTAGTAAAAGTACGAATACTTTATACGCGGCAAAAATATTCGATAGGTTATATGATGAATTTTATTCGAATTAAGAAAGCATTTTACATTTTGAAATTTCGTTTCATATTTCTAAATTTTCTTATTTAATTAACCACATTGATATGGCATAATTAAATTATTTTAGCAAAATATTCCTATCTCAATAGAATCAAACGAAGCATATAATTAATCGGTTTATTATTAAAAATAAATGTCTCCTTATATCTTAATGAGAATATTTTAAACACAATTAATTACAAAATAATGACAGTACGTACGATCAAATAAATATTAAACTAATCATAATTATAAAGATACGTAATAGAATACTGGTTAGTTTGAGTAAGCATTAAGGTAGTTTTTTCATCATAATTACTCTGAAGATTACGAAATTACCTGAATACAGAGTAATGATAAACATAATCGTTATCACACTTAATATAAAATATCACATATTTATTTTTATCACATTTTATTTTAACTGTAACCGCTTTAAGTATATCGTAAAATTATGCTTTTTTTTAATGTATTTTATCATTAATTATATGTAACACAAACATTAATAAGCTATGAATACACAAAATCCTTACTTTACAATCTTATAAATATTTGACAGCATTAATATTGAATTGTATTTTAATTATGCGTAATACAATTTTCTTTAAATCAATTATTTAGTAAAAAGATTTATATACTTACTATATACTTTTATATATATATATTAATATCTACTTATTTATATACCTACTTTTTAAAATATAAAATATATGCATATAAAAAATGTTAAGAAATATATAAATTTCAGTTGCTTATTTCTATAATTACTGCGATTTAGATTTTAGTTCATAAATAATATAAAATTAAAGATAATTATATAAACAACTAGTAACTGTAGATAAATTATTTTATTTCGTAATTGTAATTAATACAGTATAATATATATGTGTGCGCGTTTGCGCGCGTGTGTGTACTCTTATTTTATAATTTTAATTTATCTGTAACGACAATAGTTTTTTTATTATCCAATTTTCCGTAAAAGAGTCTATATAACAAAAATTAGAAATAAAGAACCTGAGCGGTGAGCGATAATTAAGTCTTGTCGACAGATAGAGAATTTAAATAAAAAATAATTATTATGAAGCCATAGTTGATAATTTTGCTTAATAGCGTATGTAGCAGTTGTAATGGGTAATACATAATAACATGATATTGAAATGAAATCTTAACTAATAGAAAGTCACAAAGAATAATCACATTTGCATTTCAGAATGATAAAATAATATTTATAGTCTTAAATTTTTCGATATCAAAATAATTAAATAAATTTTTTAAATTTCAAAATAGTTTCAGCATATTCATATAAATTTAAATACTATTAAGAGATCATTTACTAAAGTAATATACTATACGCAATTTCGTAAAGAGAAATATGTTGAACTTTCATTTAAATTAAAAATAAATTTAATGCAGCACGTAACAAATTATGCGCACGTAAGAATTAAATTACATCAATATTCGGACAATGAATGATCATATAATGCACATTTAAATTATGCAATATGTGAAGAAATTTTTGTAGAAATCGGAAGTCAATGTCAAATATTAATAAGAGAAATGATTGATTTCAATACTCGTGATAAAATGTATTTATATCAAATCCACTAAATAGCTTATATAAAAATTCTAATAATTCACAATTTCAAAAAATAATATTGAATATGTGATATGATATAATAAATCTGCGATTCAAGTAAAATTTGTATATAATATATTAATGTTTCATCGTGAATAAATATAATTTTTTCAGAAATTTAATAGAAAATGTTAACACGTGTAAGCGAAAGTAGATAAAAAAAAAAAATACAGACTTCATGTTCACAATAATAATAATAATAATAATAATAATAATAATAATAATAATAATAATTTTATTAACACATATAATTTTTTTTATTATATTAATAAAAACTAATTTTAATACGGTTAATTCTTAGCTTTTACTATTAATAATAAATTTTAAACTAAGTATTGTGTAAGGTTAACTATTATTTACTAATTATATAACAAGTATGGCATTCTAATTTCATAAGTTCATTGATAATAAAGTATCCCTATTATTCTTTCCAAATCATTTATATTTTGAATATTTTTGTTACTTTTATAATATTTAAAAATTAACATAAGGTTAATCGGAATAAAGAATTAAAATAAAATAACCACAGATTTTAAATATTAATTTAAAAAAAAAAACTGAGTTTCGAAATTTTTCAAAATACAAATATTAAAAGAAATAAAAAATTTTATGCATATTTAACATTAATATACATAGAAATTTTACATGAAAACAGATTTTAAAAAGAATATAAAGATATAATGTATTGAAACAGAATACAGTGAAAATATACGTTAAAATGAAAAAAAAAATCTTATATTTATGTAGAAATATACGAAATAAAGGAATAAGAAAAGTCAAACAAATATATTTATTTATTTTTATTATTAATTAATTAGGTTTATTCTTAATTATAGATACAACGGGAAACCCAACCTGAAGATATTATACAAATAAAAATTTATAAAAACCTTCTATCCAAAATAATTATTTATATTTTTTGTACAATTCTTCTATTAATAATTATTTATTTTTCTGTAATATATTGTAACATATAATGGAACAAAAATAGCAAAATATAATTTACTTAAAAATAAATATACGTGTACATTTTTACTATTCTATAATCCACGTACGTTATATATTCATATATGTAAATTTTTCATTTACAATATTTGAAGATTTTGAAGAATCTTGTACGCGCTTTCTTCTGCCGGTAATTCAATCTTGGAATCCTTAATCTTGTTCCCTATACGATTCCTTTCCACCTAAATCACTCATAAGAATGGATTTCTTGAGATGCATATTTATTCTTTTAGGGTTGTAGTGAACACGCGCAAATAAGTTTTTTGTAAAATAAGTTTAATTTAATACAAACGTATATGTATATCATATAAATTACTTTATATAATTATATAAAATTATAAAAAATTATTGGCCATTATATCCATAATAAGTAATATAATTATTCTTATTATTGTTATAATCTTTGTTATACCATGATTTTAAGATAATAAATACATATAAGAAATAAAATTCCTTTAAGAATGATAATCGTGAACAATGTAATTTTAAATTATACAATAATTGTATCAATGTATAGTGTATGCGTGAATCCTTAAAAATTAAATTACTATATTATTATTACTATTTTCATCAGACAAAGTCCAAATTACAAATTGTTAAAGAATAAACTAAATACGATAATACTAGTAGTAGCAGAATTATTAATATTTATATTAGCAACATTAATAATATAAGTAATATTACTATGTAAATAGTATTCATATTAATATGATTATAGTCCAAGTAATAGCTTAATTAGAAAAGGTAATATCAGAGGTCATTGTAATTTTTATAAGAATAATGATAGTAATGATGAAACATAGAACACTATCAATATTAATATATAATAATTTCTACACTAATTATGTATGACAATTGTTTGTATGTAAGGACCCATTCTATAATACAAAAAAGTATTGATAGGAAATTGGACTTGGCAGTTTTAGTATTCCGAGGATTAAAATGAGTAATAAAGATTAATAGAGTGGGTGCATTTCGTTTGTTTTGCTTTATTTATTGCTTGATAAGTTACAAGATGTCGTGCGATGCCGCGGCAGCCACACAATCGGGAAAACACAGAGCCGATGTGGACTTAGTTTTCGAGTAGTGTTGGTGGTGGTGCTGCTGCTGCTGCTGCTGCTGCTGGTGATTGTGGCGGTGCACCGTTGGTGGTGCTGGTGCTGGTGCTGCTGGCGCTGGCGGTTGGGTGGGTGGGGAGTATGCGAAGGTGCGAATCACCCAAAGTTATGTTGCGAAAGTCCCGTTGGTTGGATGAAGTGACGAAGGGTGGCGACGTATGCTTGGGCGCATGTCAGCAAGCACAAACGCGGTCGTACACGGGGTAACTACGAGCGATATTTTAATGGATGAGCGGATGTCGCGGGGGTGGGTCGGTTCATTTATACAGTGTATGTACAATGGTAGGGGTGTACTTGGCCGAATCACAGGTAGGCCGAATAAATTAGTAGGAGTAGTTGATGCCGACGGGGCTCGAGTAGGTCATGTGAGAGACGGCGACAGCCGGGGAGTAGGCAACTCCGAGGAGGCTGCTCCCGTGAGCGACTGCCGGGGCGGCATGGGCCACTGCGGGTGCGGAGTAGGCGAGGGGAGCGGCGTGGGCGAGCTGAGGGGCTGCGGCGTAGGCGAGCTGGGGAGCGGCAGCGTAAGCGACCGGGGCGACGTGGGCGTAGACTCCGGGGTTTGTGACGCTGGTGAACTGTTTGTTACTGCTGGAGAAGGGGGTGGCGATGCTCCTCGATTGGGTCGAGATCGACTGGAGGTTGCCGGCGCTGCGGTAGACGTTCTCGGAGGTGGCGGTGAGGGCCGGTGCCGAGTAGCTGGTGTAGGCTGGTGCCGAGTAGCTGGTGTAGGCCGGTGCCGCGTAGGTTGCGACCGCTGGGGCGGCGTACGTCGCGACTCCGATGGCTCCGGCTCTGGCGAGCGCGAGCACGCAACTCAGGACTGCGATCTGCAATTGTAAAACGAATGAAGTCGTTTGGGGTCTCGTCGAGCCCCATCCCCCTGCCCCTTCCCGCTCCCCTCCCGCTCTACTTTCGACTTGTTGTTGTGACTTGTTGAACGATTTGTTGCTGCTGTTGCTGCTGCTGCTGCTGCTGCTGCTGGTGATTGTGGCGGTGCACCGTTGGTGGTGCTGGTGCTGGTGCTGCTGGCGCTGGCGGTTGGGTGGGTGGGGAGTATGCGAAGGTGCGAATCACCCAAAGTTATGTTGCGAAAGTCCCGTTGGTTGGATGAAGTGACGAAGGGTGGCGACGTATGCTTGGGCGCATGTCAGCAAGCACAAACGCGGTCGTACACGGGGTAACTACGAGCGATATTTTAATGGATGAGCGGATGTCGCGGGGGTGGGTCGGTTCATTTATACAGTGTATGTACAATGGTAGGGGTGTACTTGGCCGAATCACAGGTAGGCCGAATAAATTAGTAGGAGTAGTTGATGCCGACGGGGCTCGAGTAGGTCATGTGAGAGACGGCGACAGCCGGGGAGTAGGCAACTCCGAGGAGGCTGCTCCCGTGAGCGACTGCCGGGGCGGCATGGGCCACTGCGGGTGCGGAGTAGGCGAGGGGAGCGGCGTGGGCGAGCTGAGGGGCTGCGGCGTAGGCGAGCTGGGGAGCGGCAGCGTAAGCGACCGGGGCGACGTGGGCGTAGACTCCGGGGTTTGTGACGCTGGTGAACTGTTTGTTACTGCTGGAGAAGGGGGTGGCGATGCTCCTCGATTGGGTCGAGATCGACTGGAGGTTGCCGGCGCTGCGGTAGACGTTCTCGGAGGTGGCGGTGAGGGCCGGTGCCGAGTAGCTGGTGTAGGCTGGTGCCGAGTAGCTGGTGTAGGCCGGTGCCGCGTAGGTTGCGACCGCTGGGGCGGCGTACGTCGCGACTCCGATGGCTCCGGCTCTGGCGAGCGCGAGCACGCAACTCAGGACTGCGATCTGCAATTGTAAAACGAATGAAGTCGTTTGGGGTCTCGTCGAGCCCCATCCCCCTGCCCCTTCCCGCTCCCCTCCCGCTCTACTTTCGACTTGTTGTTGTGACTTGTTGAACGATTTGTTGCTGCTGTTGCTGCTGCTGCTGCTGCTGCTGCTCAGGGTTAGTGGAAGTTTTCCGGTGTCGCGGACGCGCTACTTACCCCTGCCACGACACTTCAACCCTCATCTCCACAGCGGCCTATTTTAAATCCTTTATCAAGTCCGCTGCTAATAATGCGCGAGGACCAATGCCAATGATAATAACCAAATTTACCAAATAAGCAAAGATTTTGTGGCCGTGAGAAATAAGCAGAAGTATAAAACTTTTATTTGAATTTAGTCATTTTGAGTCTAGTGAGAAACTAGTCGTAATGAGCGGAATGGATAATTGTCAACGGTATAAACGCTCTGTAAAACCATGTAAAAATGACGATAATGAACAGTTGTGATGTGGATGGTTGGTTCTAGTGATAATGAATAAGGCGTCTATTGAATAAAGGCTGAGGATTTGTTAAAATTGAGTTGGAAAATTGCCGATGGCGAAAATGCTGCTTATCATTGCGCGACTGCAGCGGCTACGTAAAGGATAGAATGCACAACTCACCTTGGCGTACATGATTGAATCGGGTTGACTTGAGTGTCTACGGACGGTGCGTTAAAGTATGAGCGACGGAGATCGGGAGTCTCGAGAGTATGTCGCTGAGCCTAGCTACGATATCTTTTATACCTCGCGAGGCCGACGCCCAAAACGCATTTGGGCGAAAGTGGGGAAGAGTTCCTTTGGGCGAGTACGGAGGCACTTTCCCCTCGGAGAGCGACCAGCACTATTGGAGCGAGGCGAGAGGCGAGCTAACCATCTGGCCTTGGTCCAGATTAAATCGCGCGAAATGTCGGTGCGTCGAGGGCCTTAGGGGCGAAATCTATCCTGTGATCAGGTTGGCGAGACAGGCGTCATTGTATTTAACTTTACGGATCTCCTTTGAGTTGCGACTTGTGCTTATCTAATTAGTGTTGGATGTAATGTGGTAGCCACATTAGTCGGTTGTACAAATATGTTTGCTTATATTGAAATCGTGTAAGCAGTGGGCGTCTGGACCGCTTTGAAATTTTTCTTTCGCAATACGACTTGATATGTAACGACTGTTTTTATATATGATTTATCATATGGAGGCAGTGAAAGAGGTGTCGTACTTATCAGAAAGCGACAATAGTGATCGGTAATAAGTGCTGTTGTATGTTTTGAAATCATACCGAATATTTTTTATTATTGACGGATAAGGAGATGGTTTAGATATATATATATATATATATATATATATATCTACATGTAATGGAAATCTATTGGTAATCATGCAATTAAAAAACTAATATGAATTTTTATGCAAGATGAAATAGATGCGTCCATATGATATATTTTACAGGTGAATTATTGATACAAATAAATCTTTATGAAATATTTATAGGAACGCCATATCTGACTATCGTTTTTATAAATATAAACATATGACAATTTATTATCGCAAAATTGATATTAGGTATGAATAATCTCATATCTCATTTATGATAATGAGACGATTTTTTTTTTTTATATCAATAATTAGATCTCTTCTATTATTAATATTATTTGTACTATGTCTTTCCTAGTCTTATAAAACGTTAGTACTACGTTTAATCAGACTGATATTTAATTAAAAAAATATATACAATTCGACAATATTTTTATAAACAGTGAGATTATTCACGAGGAAAAACTTACTTAAGTCAAAAGTCGCTCATAATTTCTCAATATTTTTGAAAAAAGAATTAAATAAATAAAATAAAAAATAATAAAAGCTAATGATCTATATACAATAGTGGGGGTACAGTGTTCTGCAATAAATTTTATGTAGCATTACTTAATTGAATGTAAAAATACCAATTAACTACTAACTAAAAAAAAAATAATTTACGAATTACAATACAATTTACTAATTACTATTATTATTATTATTATTATTATTATTATTATTATTATTATTATTATTATTATATTTGAAGAATTAAAAAAATCATATTTGAAAATAAAATTATATAATAAAAATTATAAAATCATTGTAAATAATTAATGGTGTCGAATTAGTTGAATTTAAGAAAAAAAAATTCACATATTTTCTGTTATTTTTTTTTTTTTTTTTTTTTTTTTTTTTTTTTTTTTTTTTACATAAAATTCAATGTAAAGCGTGAAAACTCATCAGAAAGTGTAGTTTCAATCAAATCTTGGATCCAAAATCAATCAAATTTTGGAAATCATATTTTTAATTTTTACTAATAAGAAAATACAAATAATTCTAGATGAATTTACTACATATCTGACGTCTATCTACTTTTTACAAGAAGTATTACTTAAATTATCAAGTATTATATAAGATTCAAAATTTTATTATTCAAATAACAAATCTTTCTCATTTTTCATCATTAGTTAAGAAAAAAGTATTAGTTAATTTTCAGAAGTAAACAACAATAATTGATAAGCAAACAACTGTACAGCTATGTTTACTGAAGATTTGTCTTTTTTCTTTTTTTCTATAACATAAGAAATGTAAGTTATGAGTATTAATGTAAAAATTAAAAAAATTGATATTAAAAATTAAATATTAAAAAAAAAAATAATATAAAAAATTAATCCCTTGAAGCAAAGCCTTTACATAATAATCTCGTAGTCATCCATTATTCTTTATTAAATATTACCAAAGTATTTTCTATAATATATATATATTATATTTTATATAATATATATATATAGGTGTGTGTGTTTGTGTATTTCTTTATTATATATTTTATCTTTATTAATAGAGTATCTTTTTCTAATCATTACATCACAGTAGATCTCGATATCGAAATCGAAATTAATATCGATTGATTGATATTGAACATCTGTATTTAAATACGAACAAATAATATATAAATTCAAGGACTATAAGATTCCAACTAAATAATTGATGTAATTATTTGAGTAAAATTAAAATGATGATTGTCGGTAAGCATGCTTTTATTATATATTAAAAAGAAAAAGAAAAAGTATTAGAATACAAGTTGAAAATTATAATATTTTCAGCGCTAACATTTACTAAAAGAGACATTTTCCCCATTAAGCATCATTTACTTTTGCTCATATTCCACTAATAATGCTCGAATAGATAATCAAAATATGGATGCAGGATTATTTTTACTAAAAACAAGTATAAGAACAACTAATATAAACAACAATGCTTGTTATCATTATAGTTTATTTTGTAATAAATAAGATGAGAACGCAAAACGAATGGACAGAAATTAATAGGGGTATGTCCTTTGCGTAAATAAATTGCTATTGGTACAAGTAACAAGGAATGTCGTGAAGGATATTCCAAAGCGAATAGAAAGGCTTCTCAAACAAAGAGATTATTGTCTTTTAAATCTAATAAAAATACGCAAGAAGAATAATTATTCGGTAGAAAAAAACAGTGTAAAATGAAAAAATAGAGTAGTAAATGGTGTACAATGAACTAGGAGTTCAAAGGCTTTGATTGACCGATTATAAGGCATAGCAAGGACAAACCGGGCATAAAGGATGTAGCGAACAGGTTCACAATGACCATGGCATAAATATAGGGAAATGAAGAAAAAATGGAAAGACATGGTAAAAGAAAAATAATTTTTGTTCCTTTTAATAGTAAGAAGTATAGTACATTAAATACGTGGTATAGGCGTATGAAGTATATGAAAAAGAACAGATTTACATCAACATTCGTATTACAATGGTAACAGTAATGGGAGTTATGGCCAAATACGCACATGTGCTTACATACTAACATTATACGTATTAATATCGTACTTTTAAAAAATTTACATACATTTACGTTAGCATATAATTATATGTGTAAACCAGCGAATATTATACTGTGTGGTGAACGCATCAGCATAATGTTCAAGGTACATGCTGTTTTATCATTTTCATTAATAATTTGATCGAAAGGGATATATATATATATATATATATATATATATATACATTGATTTGTAATGATTTTGTAAAAATGTTATATCTATAAATAGTTTAGCGTACGAATCAATTATTTGATGTCCTTCTATGATAAATTATTCTTTCCACTATTCATGTACAATATCGAATATCAGCCCTTGATTGATTAAAAAAAATTTCAATTCTACCGTGCGCAGTTATTTATTTCGGACGACAAAGTATAATCGAAATTGCGTTTATTGTACAGACATTTCTAAATAACTTTCGTTCTCTAAAATTAATTTTCATATTTATCGTATAATACCAATACGCCAATTGCACACTCTTTAAGCCACCGATTTATTTATTCGAATATTTATTGAATACTATTATTTAAAAGAAATATCTTTCATTACATAATAAACATTGCGATGAAAATGAGCGTTTAGTAATGTATAAACCACAAATGCTGTGTAAACTTTTATCGTGAGTCGGCGGCATTCTTTTTTTTTCGAGCTTTCTTTGTCTTCGAGAGGAATCGAGAGGAAGGGCATCGAACATGCGAGGGTGGCACGCAAGCAAGGATAAATCGATCTACAGCAAAAATTACATTGTAAACTGTGAATGTGAGATCCGGAATGTCGGATAAATGTACAGCGATGCGCAGGTCTTCGTAAGGTCAAATGAGCTTCGGCGAAAATGTCAGGGTAGCCCGAGTACGCTAAGGAGGCGTCCTTCCAACCCATCGACAACTAAAAAATCGTCAATTTCTCATTCGCGATTGGCGATTAATCCGACGGCGATTAAGCGATGTCGAAAGTCGCGCGGCGGAGCGCAAGCTTGAGCAAGGAAATAGATGTCCGAGCAATCGCTCTGGAAGTAATAACTTACGATCGAAGCACTTGGCGAGCGGCGCTGCGAACGAGCACGTATACGTGAAGCGTTGACGGGGGTGGGAGGGGTTGGAGGTGGTGAGGGGCGGGGGAGGGAGGGAGGGAGGGAGGGAGGGAGAGGCAGACGGGGTGGGAGTGGGAGGAGGAGCTGACAACGGTCACACTCGCGGGGAAAGGCTACTCACGGGGCCCAGGAAGGCAATCGTACCGGACGACGCCTCCGTAGGCGAAGGTTGCCTCTCCGCATCAAGAATATGCGTCCGACGTCCCTTTCCCTTCATTACCGTGCGGCAGCGGCAGCTACAGCGGCGGTGACGGCGGCACCGGCGGCGGCGGCAGCAGCCATCCAAGGTCAGCCCTGCGCGGCTTTCGCAACTTTGACCCCTTTTTCGCCAAGGCGGGCCCACTGCCGCTAAAGAAAAGCCTCGCGAGCCCTGGGAGATTTACGACGGGGAGAGGGATAAGACAGGACGAGACGCGTCCTATCCTTCCACGGCGTCGCCGCCGTCGCTGTCATTATCGGGGGATCGAGAGGCGATATTTTTACAGCCGGCGAAGGTGAGGCGGGTAAGGACGGCGCGTTCGGAAAACGAGTTTCGTCTCTGAGCTTTGAGTTTCTCTTGCTCTTGCCAGTATTGAGCGGTGCGCCTCGCTTCTACACCCGATAGATGCTTAATTTTGAATAACGAAATTCTAATCGCACGGCGTCTTTGTGCTCCGATTCACTAATACGACGTCGCTGCTGCAATATCAAAAGCTCTTAGACGGTAGAGTTGCGATGGCTCGGTAGCATAATTTATTTAATGCTCGCCGATTATTGTTGATATTTTTCTAAATGAAGGTTGAGCGGCAACGCTAATTTGCCACTTTTAATCCACTCATTGGAAGATCGATGAATATTTCATTGGAGCTTTACACTTAATTTTTTACACATAAACGTTTTACAATTAATCGAAGATTCGTACCAAAGGATGTAAACTTTGTCTTCGTTTACATTAAATTATAAATTTAAACGCTAATATTAATTATAACTGCTAGGCGCATCCAACATAACTCGACACATTGTTTAAGAATATATGTACATGTATATATGTATATATATATATATATTAAAAATAAGAAATAAATCTACGTTTTGAAAATGTAAACTTAAACTATACGTTCGCTTGCTAATGGTAATAATGTTGAGAACTGATAATATTACATCGACACTATATATTTCAAGATCATTATAAAATAAAAATATCGATGCTGTCTATAATCTTGACAATTTACCTGCTTATTATTTTTTTCTTTCAAAACATATATGAGATGACGTTTATACGCAAACTACTTTCTTATTTTCTATTATATATATATATATATATTATGTGTGAAAATAATTAAAGTCATAATCATCAAAAAAATTAAAAATTTAAGTCAAATTATACGTAGATATACTTATTTTAATTGTCATTTAATTATGAACAATAAAGTGATAACCAATATTAACTATTGTTACTTCATAAATTAACAATATTTGCATAAATTGCATAATTGCATGGAATTGACGTAAACGTTATATAATACAGTTGATTGCTTTTTAATGTTTGCTTTTATAATTTTATCATCTAGCAAAACTATAATCCCATGATTCTAAATAAATTCCATCTAATCTATTCGCTAAAATTTCACGAAAACATCTTTACCAACAATTAAAAAACGTTAATTAAATTACATTTATTTTCCCGCAATGAAATGTAATAATAAATATACAGATTATTATTCATTTATAGTTTTCATTTTTATAAATAGAATTGTCAATATCACAATGTCTCGTGAGATTATACATCACATGTCATTTTAGACGTCAGAAATTGAGAAGTCTAGGTCGACAAACTCCCGGAGTTACGTAATGTTGAATGAAAAAAATAATCTTATGCGCCCGTGGAAGAATGTTAATTCTTAAGTAATTCCTTTAATTTCTCGTGCCTAAGAAAGAGCTGAAGAACTAGTTTTTTTTGTTTTTTTTTTTTTTTTTTTTTTTTTTTTTTTTTTTAAAGGTAGATATTTGTCTGATATGGAGAAAACAGATTTTGCGATTCGATATGCGTTGTTTTAAAATAAAATCAAAAGCAAAAAGGACCAATTGCAGATACTTTTTAGATCGCCCAAACGATTGAGAAATCATTTTATTCAAAATGAAATTATTGTATTGAAATATTCGATAAACCTGCACTTCCTCAGAATTGTTTATGTTAATATTTCATTATGAAAGCCTTGAAATTTAAGTGTTAAATAATAGCTTATTTTCAATAGTCATCATAAATTCGAGATTTATGAATGTATTTATCATATTAAACAATACGAGAACAGACGCATTATTGAGAATTAATAACGACCATTTTTATGAATAATTTATGACTTGCACAGATATTTGTGAATAATAAATTAAGAAGTATATCAGTGTTTAATTATATTTCGTTAAACGTGTGCTCGAGTATTATAAAATCATTCAACATAATTTTTCAGACTGACGTTATTGGACATTTGACTTTATCATTTAAATAGCATTTCAACCTAAATGATCGGTATATTTAATTTAGTGCAGCCTTGTAAATCAATTAGCTTTAATAAAATGTAAATTTTGTTTATAATAATCACTAGATTTATATTAACTATTAATAATTTTAAAATATTGAAAATATAATTATAATTATTGTAATAATTTTCATGTACATTTATATGCATAATTTTATTGTATTAGATGAATGAGCCGAATTTTTCGATGAATTTTGTTCGTAACATTTGTTTTGAGAAAAAAAAACCATTAAAACATTGTCCAGCATCCCACAAATATAATTAAATAATACATAGATACGGTCTGCATTTACAACAATTTCATATTCTACGTGCAATGAATTTTTCATTCTTAACATTCGTAAAGTAATGAAATTTTCTCCACTAAATATTTACAAACAGATATGCAAAATTTGAAATAAAGTACTTAACGGAAATATGAGCAATTTCATGATGTTCAATGTATCATTAATGTATCATCTATGTTACACACTTGAGGAGAATTTTATTTTAATACATTTGTCGCAACATATTCATAACAAAATTGGTATATAAAATATTATTTCTCAATGGTTAATTTGATGGTAATAGAATGTAAACAAAGCAAATCACCACTACCATTCAAGCCTTGAATAATCGGATTAACAAATGGCTTTCGAATTTCGTGTTGTAAGATTGAGCAATTTATATCAAAATAACGATCTCCAATGACATACACAAGCGACATTCTTATACTCTAATTAGTCGACGCTTCATTCTAAAATACACCTTTTACGTATTTTAATTAGAAATTAATCCAGTATATTACGATACGAAATTACGATTACCAATATTATTTTATTAAAAAATATCTCTTAGAAGAAAAATATTCCTTAGAAGAAAGAAATAAATTAATACATAGAAAATTTGAATGGATATAAAGCATGATTTTACATTGGCAAAAAAATTCCTACAATATAATGTTGAATGTAAAAAGTATACAATAATATCGTGAGCTTGTAATATGTAAATGATGTACGACAGTTTTTATATATTTCAAAGAATATAAAAGGAACAAGAGATTTTTACAGTCGAGCCTCTACGTTCTTACGTTCTCTCCTAAATGCCTTTTATCCTTAATGCTAATAATTCTTAATATTATAAATTGCTAGTGTCATTAATAACGTACTTTTCGGTATTCTTAGAGGGTTAGAAAGGTCATGATCCGAGAGTCAGAATTTCATTTTTTTGTCTCATGGACGAGCTCCCGGATGTAATCTTGATCTCTAGTATGCTAATAGCCGAATGGGACGATCGACGAAAATTATACGGCCGAGCTGAGGCGAATGATGCATTTATCATTTACATGGGTGCGCGAAGGATCGTTGGAGAGGGCGCCCGGAAACTCGAGTGCGCCTTGCACCTAGTTATCGTCGATTCCAGGAGAGGGGGACGTAGACTTTGTAAAAGGCGTGCAATTAACGGCAATGACCTTCGCCTGGGCGTTTTCCCGTAATCGCAGCGAGACGCAGCGGCCGGCATTGGCAATGATCTCGTTGCACCGGGTTGCGCAAGCGGGGAGGCGCGGTACGAAGGCCCCCGGGACTTGCACAAGCGAGTGTGGGTCGATCGGCGCTCGGGGGCAGTCCGATCGCCGACCGGGTGATCGACGTGGGATGGCCCTGGGGCGAGCTGACGGCCCCACCCGGGGATGGTGCCTGCCGCGACCCAAGTATATAAGCTCTCGCGCGCTCCAGGCCGATGTTCGTTGGTTCTCGAGAGCGCAGCCCGGCCAAGTCGTCCCCAGTCGTTCATTTTTCAATTTTTGGCCATTTTCGAATTGAAAGCCTGAGCGTTGCTTGTGCAGCGAGCCATTGCAATTGGGTAACATTTTGCCGCCGGGATCCGCGAGTCACTTGTGCATTTGCATTTCATAGTTCGAATGTACCATCCGCCAGGCTAAGAGTGCCCCAATAAAGTTATATAACATTGCGTGTAAAAAAAAAATTCGCCGCAGCTTTGAGAGAAGCATGATTTTTATATCGGAAACTCAATATAAATCTTATTGCCTTCTCAGACTCATTATAATAAACAATTTGATATCGTTTCTATAGTTCCTTCAAATCCATTTACTCTCGTAATAGATAATCTATTTAATGGATTACGCATTAATACGTATTAATTACAAAATCAAATTTGCATTACATTAATCTTCAATGATTTTATTCCTCGTGAACAAGTATATAATTACTAAGTTATGGGCATTCAGCTTTTGTTCGTATTAAAGGTATCATTGTAAGGCATTTTTTTGTAATTTCATTAATTTTGCATTATTAATTCTTATTACTTGTTAATGTGTGTACTTAATATTGTCGATCGTCGAATGCATGATTAATATCGATATTTAACGATTTCTAACTACATTATAATGTATGATGATTTTGCAGCTCATATTTTATTATATAATACAGATTTTATACTACAAATACCATTGCAGTTGACCATTGCATATTAACGTAATAATAATAACAAAATTCTACAAACTTGATAATATGAATTTCAAAAATTCGAAGATTTCTTCATAGCCAAGTGATACTTATTCAAGCGTGCAAATTACATCCAGAAAATGCTTGTATAATATTACATATAAAAGGAACTTATCCAACAAAAGGGAAAATTACCGAAATATTTATGACGGTACTAAATACCAGTAATAAAATAGTAATCTTGCTATAATTAGCAAATTTATTTGATTTCGATACCACTCGAACGATATAATTGGCACAACACAACTTTAAACGATTTTTTTCTCTCTAATTCATTTCAGTCGAAAATACATAGTTTTAATTATACATCAATCAACATTTAGAACTAAAAAGTGGATTCACAATTGATTTTATATTCCGATTGATTCAATAAACGAAAAAAATATCATCACAAATTACAAACTAAAAGATTTTTCTTATCCAACGTATAAATTAGTATGGCGTGGAAATTTGTTAAGTAACGACCTGAAATCTTTCTATTAAAACACAACGATGTATTGTTGATGAGATGTAACACAAGAAATAGTTACATACAAGAAATAAAAGATGTCAGTTACAAAAAATTACGTATAATTTTTTCTCCAATTTAATAAAGTATAATCGTTTGTAAATCTATGGTATGTATAATTTGTAGACACATTTGATAAGCATTTCAAAATCTATAAAAAATAAACACGCACGCCAACGCTTGCACACACTCACACACACACACACACACGCACACACACACACACACACACACAGAACCCAACAATAAGAAGGCACAACATAATGTTTAAATTCATTATAAAGAGAGGTAGTATTATAAAATAATTGGACCGCATGGATTTTAATTTAATTACAATTAATTTATATCATTCAATTAAAAGGGAATAATTATAATTAATATGAAAAAAAAAAAAAAAAAACAATCAATGTTTCTATTCTTATTACATCCGACAATAAAATTAAATTTGAAAAAAAAACTTATAAATAAAAAATGAAATTGTATATATTCTTATGCTCTAAATAAATTAACTTGTATTTCTTAATAAAAATTATATTTCAACGATTTGATTATTTATTATAATTGTTTTATATTATAAAATGTCACAAATTAATTTTAGTCACATCGTAAAATTTGAAAACATCAACATTCACAAAAAATGACAAAACTTTCAGGTACTCACAAAATTTTCGATATCACGTCGATACAGAAATTAAATAGAATTCTTATAAGAGATATCGTAATTAAGATATAAGTAATTTTTTTTTTTTTTTTTAATTTCCCACTAATTTATATAATACGAAAAATGATTGATCGTAGATATTAAATGACATTTTAGATCATAAAAATAACTTTAATAATTCAAGCTGTTGATAACAAATACATCACATCTTATCAATAATCTTCTGTAAATCAAAAGCATAATAGTATGCATTTATATTTAATTAATTATACTAAGAAAATATACTACATATTTTTCTCGTTACAATAATAATATAATAGTTTTTAGTTTCAATTATTTCAATATACAATATTGAACATAAACAAAATTAATAATATGTTATTAATTATTTGAATTATTCATATTTTAGAAAAATATTCCTCGCATTTTTGGATTGCTTAGGATAATAATTTGTCGTTACATTGCATAAAATATTCAACTTTTTTCCTAATTTATTTTAAATCAAGGAAATTATGTATAATAAAAGCAATGTATGTTTGCTTTACAAATCCCATAACTAGTAATGAAATTGATTATAAAATAAAAATTGTAAATTTTTAAAACTCACATTCACAAATTTGGATAATGTAAATACACGATATTTCATTAGTATTTCAGACAATCATTAACAACACAATCGAGTAACTGAATTATTTCAAATTTTGCTCGAATAATTTTCTCATCGTTTATATTTTTTATGAAAAATTTTAAACTAATCTACGTGAGTTAGTTATTTTAATATATGTAACCAATATTAGCATTATTTTATTTTAAAAAAAAGAAGGTTTAATAAATAATATAGATTAAACTCCATGAAACTCTATTAAAGATATTTCGTAATAATTTTAAAATTAAGCCAAGTATCTACAATTAAATTGAAAAAAAATTTCTTTAAATATGTTTTATGTTAAAAATGTTTTATTTAAATTAATTGGCAATCTATCGAATAATCTTCTTATCTAGCATAAAAATTAGTTTCTACACTTGCATAATTCATTGCGCCCAAACTCAATTCTATATATATATATATATATATATATATATATATTCATGGAATAAATATCAAATTTAAATCCATTTAAATTACGGTTAAATATTAAAAATTATACAAAACATTTAATATGACAAAAATTACTATTTATTATGTTTAATTAATGAGTAATTAACGTATTCTATGTTATTTTAACAAATGTTACAGATATTCTGTAAATAAAACTTTAAATGATTCAAAGATGGTATACGATGTATAAATTGAAATATTATAAATTTTGAAAAATAAGTTCGTTATAATTAGATTTTATTAGAATTTCCTTACATAATCCAATTAATCCAATAATATCTCTATCTGATGGATAAATTTAATTAGTTGAAATATAAATAAATTAAAATATTTTTCAACATTTTTTATAGATAATTTATTACATATAAAAAAAAAAAGAAAAGAAAGAAACAATGCTAAACGTTAAAATTTTCATAAATTCATAAAAATTTCATAAAAACTTGTGTTCTTTTTTATTTTATATTAAATAAAATTAAAACAAAAATTTATATTTTTCAATATAAATTTTGTATAATTAAGCAAATGAATGATATTTTACGCTAATTAAATTAGAGTAAAGCATATTACATTTAAATATCTAAGTTAAGCAGGTGACTGTAGAAATAATATATTCTTCCAATAAATTAGTAGGATGTTCCGTATAATCGCTTAAAATCAGTTTTTAATTGGATTTAATTCACGAAAACATTTGTTGTTTTTTTTTCTATTTACCAATCTATTTATCTGAAAAAAAAAACAAAAAAAAAAAATTTAAACCAAACAAAAGCAATTGACATAATGAAATATTATCGTTTGTTGTTTAAATGAGAGAGAGTTATACATATCGAAAAATGCATACCTTTGGCCGGACTTATCTTTGATTTACCTACAATCTTATGACGTGCATTTTTATTCTTTTCAGCTAATGTTTTTGGTGATTCGATTGCACGTTGTCCCTGAAGATAAGCAAATCCCAGATTTTTTACCGTGTTTAAACGTTCTACAACAACACTGCATGCCTTGACAAGTGATAAAGGTTTTCTAGAACACGATGGTGTACCTGCTAAGAGAACCATTTGTCAATTAACAAATTACATCTATATATATATTTACACGAACATAGAACATATCAAAAATATTAGATATTGGGGGAAAGGTAAAAAACGATTTTGATAGATTCGATATATTTACTATGAAATTGAAATATTTTATATAGAAATTAAAAAATAAAGATACATGCAATAAATAAACTCAAAATACATATATGATGATCTTGAATGATTCTTCACTAATATCTTTATAAACGTAAGTCACGATATAATAATGCAGCAATAATGAATTATTATAAGTGAAAATACCTGGATTTGGGCTTCTAGAATTAGTAGGAGAAGCACGCGATACATTCTCCGATGAGCTCTTCGAAGTCCTGGATGTTTGCGGAATATTGATTTTTTCTAGCATTTGAAAGAAACGCAATTAAAATTTAGTTCACTTCGTCTTGTGTATTGCAAATAGGCAAATCAATATACATTATACATATTACATATAAATAAATAAGTATATATTACGATATCAAGTATTTTTTTTTATTTATTTTTTAATTTTATATCGGCTAAAATATGATAAATCATACTTAATACGGAAGGCATTTGATGTTCTGGTTGAGGACTATTGTCATTAGTCCAATTCCATTTTTTCTTTGCTGGTGGATTATTTGATGTCGTGTCTTTTGCCTTTTTCGTTGACGAAGTGATCGAATTTTTCCGAGATAAGTCGTTCCTCTTCGTTGCCGACGTGATCGAATCAAGGCGAGGAGAATCTTTCTTGGCGTGCGAGTTTTGCGCATTTGGATTCTTTTTCTCCATTACCGCGGCAGTCGTTCTATTTCGGAGTGCATATTTTGGATTTGCCGTTGACGCATTGAAATCACTTTGAGGTGGCATTTTCTCATTAATGGCATCTAAATTTTTTACCTCCTCGAACGTCAGATGTTTTTGCAGGGCTAAAAAAATTTCGCGCGTATCGTGGAAATCAATTTTTTCATAATTCATAATTTATGTAATAATTTACTGTAATATTAGAATAAAATTACGATTTTGTATGCAATTTGAGGAACATTTTGAGGGAGAGATATAAGAATAAGTATGTGAGGATAGATGACGTAAGGAAATTTTTATTTTTGTAGGATATAGATTAAGATCTTGTCGTTAAACAATATTTATAGAAATTTTTGTAAGATAAGTTCTCTTACGTAAGTAATTGAATTGTTTTATAATATTGTCGCGATAATATGCTATCGAAGGTAAGAGTGGCAACGAATTTATCGCTTTAATAATTGCAATTTTTTTTTATTTATTTAAGTTTTTTATTTTCAATTAAATTCTTTGTAATTAAAAAGAGAAATTTTGATAATTGCACAATGACATTGATCGAAATGTCGAATAAAAACAGTTGTGAATATTTTCAACAATTTATCCAATGATTCTATTCTTTCGCAATCGACGTTAAGCTTGATAAAGTGGTATAGGGCCATCCATTTAAGGAGTATTATGTACGTGGTACAGTACACACAATGAGCAATTTGTTACGGCAATTCATTAGTCCTGCCGGTAGAGAGAGAGAGAGAGAGAGAGAGAGTAACAGAGAGAGAGAGAGAGAGAGAGAGAGAGAGAGGGAGGGAGATAGCGTAAGCTAACTTTCGAGCGTTGGAAATCAAGTGGCGACAAGTGGCTAACATTGGCAAGGGCTTTCGTCCATGCAGTCCAATTAGTATGCGCTATTAAACGCTATCGTGATGTAAGCTAAAACTATATAAATGGATCGAGAGAAAGAGAGAGATAGATAGATAGATAGATAGAGAGAGAGAGAGAGAGAGAGAGAGAGAGAGAGAGAGTGAGTGAGAGATAATTTTTGTGTGTGTGTGTGTGTTTGTTTGTGTGTGAGCGCGCGCGTGCAAGTGCGCGTATGAGTATTTGCAGGGGATTGTACTAGTGAAACGATGGGCTGATGTGGCGAGGGTAGGGACGAGAGGATTGGGTCGGCCAGCAAATATAGCCTAATTGATAAAGCGAGTTACGCGAGGTGATTGCGCAGGGCATCGCCGGGACGAGGATCGAGGAGGTGAAATTAAGGATGACACTCGTCGTGGAATGCCTGCCGGTAATGATCAGCCGCGTGGCTCGCACCACGCCCAAATAAAAGAGAAGGAACTCGGTAGCAGGTGGCTTTCACGCCGGCCGAAAAATGTCATAATCGCAGCGGTGCTCACCGCTCCTCAAGGACGTCCTGCCACCGGCGAGAGCTCCAAGCGGTAGGGAGCCACTCGGCGTCAGTCCCTTCAGCATCAGCACGCTTTCACTCTCCTCTCTGAAAAAGAAGGGTTAGAGGCCGGGCGAAAGGCGCGACAGCTGCTCGGGCGTTGTACTCACCTGAGGACGGCGTACGCCCGGGCCATTTTCCCGATCGCTTTTATCTTGTGGCGTATGACGTCCTTGCGGGCGTTGGCCGTGTTACCTGAAACGGTGAGGCGCGAGGTGAGGTGCGCGTGCGATGACGGCCCGCTCTGACAATATGGTCAATTCCATGTGAGGCGCTCATTGGTGCGCGGTGGCGGTGACGGCGGTGGCGGCGACGCCACTCTCGGATCACGTATCGTTTACTCGGTAGCGAGCGTCGGCCGAGACTGCTTGCTCCTGGCGTTGAGGTGTTTGCACGCCTTGATGCCGCCGCCTCTGCCTTCCTCGGCGCAAGTGGCCGTTTGAATTTTCGGGCTTTGAGCTTTAAAAGGCCGGTGCGTGCTCCAATGAGACGCGGCTATCGACTTGACCATATTATCGGCGCTCGACTTACACAGACATTAACACTAGTGGCGCGGCATTACTTAGCATTGCTCGTAAAAGTCAACGTTCGATGACTTTCTTCCAGGTGCACTTTTAAGACGATGATAAATTTAACGTTTCCGATTAAAAGATCTTTCGTTTAAATATCACTATTTCTCGTATAATTATTAGCTTGGATATTAACAAGCGTAACGTAATTATTAAGAACGATAATGGTAACGAATGAGTTGTTAATTGATAAGCATGAATAAGAATAATCGTAATAATGATGATAAATTTATTAAAGATATTTAGAAATATTGAGTTTAAGCAGGAATTTTGCACGTTAAATATGATTGCCCGAAGTCCATTACAAAACAATAGAACATGAATGAGAAAATTCAAATGAATATTTGAGACTAAAGTTGTGCATAGTTACCATCTCCAGATTTCTCGGTTTCTTGACTTTCGAGCTCCTCGTCCGAGCATATAATTAATATTGCATGTAACATCTCCGTCACTAAAACAATAATGTATCCAAATAAGCATATGTTTTATAATTGTAGAGATGCTTGTAAAAAAAAAAAAAAAAAGTGATTTCCTTTTACATTTTTCACCGATAAAAGGTAAAGACCATGTGAAAACATTCATTAAATTTGGTAACCAATATGGATGCGGCGAATACCTAAATTGTTTGATATTTAGCAGGTTGTTCTCGTATATTAAGATTGAAGCCTAAAATTGAATAAAAATACAATAATATCGTTAATCATTAATGAAGTCAATTAATATTTAAGAGTCGAACTTATGTTCCGAGTCTAAGCTTTTAATACGTCCCCCCCCCCTCCCTCCATCCCCCTCCCGCCAAATGAAAAGCATCTTATCGACTATTTTAAAATTTAAATAACCTATACAGAAAATTTGTTATATATAATTGTATGTTCGTTGCGTTCCTGATATTATGATGACCGACATTATACAAGGCCAATGTATCAACAAAAAAACGGTCAGAACTCGTTCTTCCGGGGCAGTATATTAACCTTATTATTATAAATGTCAATGTAATTGGGAGCGCTAAAGATTGTTATTAGTGCAGGGAAACCATTTTCCGTGGAACGATATATTCGATATCCGGAATCCTGCGCTTCGTGCGCTCTAATGATGCCTACCAAACCGCTGCGCCGTAAAAAATCGCAGCAAGCCGCGTAACTGAAAAGAAAAACAATTAAATGACAAATCCGATTATTTTCTTAAAAAAAAAAATAAAATAAAATAAGACCTTGTATCGATTAATTATAACGATAATAAGTTAACATGGATTCAAGCTGATATTGTAACATTGAAATAAATAATGAATAAGCATTACCTATAAAAGTATGAACATCCTCGGGTACTATTATGCAAATAAAATTCATTGTTCCCTTCATTTCCAAAGTGTTCGGTTGGATCGGACCAAATCATATCGCAAAAAGCACCGTGTGATGGTGGCTCTTCAAATCTAAAAATCTAATAAAATAAACTTACGAATTAAGAATTAAACAAAAAATTTGAATATTACTCCTACGTGTGACGTTTTTCTCTAGTTATCGGATTCATTTTACTGCTATTTGATAGTGAAAAAGCTCCTTAAATAACAATGGAATGAAATAGAAACTTAAACTATTAACATAAAAGAGTCGATAAATAATTGTTGCAACTAATGACAAAGGTGAATAATTGGGCTTTTACTTTTTTTATGTCTTTTAGATCACGAATTTCTGGCGATAATCCTCCGTGTACGCAGAAAAATTGTTTATTTAAAATCGCCGCCAATGGTAAACAATCAAAAGCATTCATACAGGCATCATAAACTGCTTTCGAGTACTTCACGTAGCCTGAAACAGGAATAAATTATTATTTTGCTTATATTATTGACTGAGAGTGACCGAGAGTGACAAACAGTTGGCACTGGCACTTACATTCTTCCTTGAACGTGAAAAAATTTGTAAGATGGCGACACTCGTGGTTACCTCTAAGAAGAAAGAATGTGTCTGGATAGGAAATTTTCAAAGCCCATAAATACAATACACACTAGAAAGAAAAGTAATTTTACAATAATTTCCTATCCAAGAGGGAATACGTAAAACAGTATTATAAAAAAAAAAAAAAAAAAAAAAAAAAAAAAAAAAAAATTTTTTGACACGATTAGAGAGGCACTCTGAACATCTGAACATATGATTTGCTACATCGACGTGTGTATATCTTTATTTTTTTATTTTTTTCATTTATTATTTAAATTTCACTTGCATTAGTATTTATACATAATAGACACTGATGCAAGAGCGTGAAATCAAATAAATTTCACTACAAAATTTAACTGAATAAAATTACTCGATGCTTAATAATTATTTTTACAATTTCATTCGCATATATATACCTCAATACCAAAATATCCTCGGTCTACGTAATCCCCGAGGAAGAGATAACTTGTGCAAGTCGGCGATCCACCCGTATCAAATAATTTCATCAAATCATAAAATTGCCCGTGAATGTCGCCGCAAACTATAAATATAGAATACGATAAATGTACAATTATGCAATATTTTAATAAAAAATAAAAGAGAAAAAAAAATTATCATAACAATTTTAGAGATATTTTTAAAATTGATGTGTGAAAAATAGTACCGGTAATCGGTTGCTTAACATAAATCAGATTTTCCTCTTTTCGAAAAATTTCTGCTCCTTGATTAATAATTCGGAGAGCCGTGGATTCCTCGAGTCTACCTTCAAGAAATAAATGATGCTTCAATATTTCATGACGAAGTATGCCATCATCTTCATCAAATATATCGACTTCCCGAAGTTTGTATCGCGGCGGTTCAGGCACATCTGCATTAAAATGAGAATAAAAAAATTTTTTTTTTTTACACAAAATGCAACATTTAAGGACGTCGTATTTTATTTCAAGTGTAAATCAATCTTAAATTCGATGTCATGAAAATCTTAAAAAATAATCATAATACGCCAGATGTTGATGACTTGTTATTTACTATATGATAGGATTTAAAATAAAAGATTTTAATCGTTAATTACTTAGACTTAGACAAAAATGGCAATAAAGTAAAATGAATTTAACCAAAAAATCTCAGGCTATAATTATGAAAGAATAGAATTTTGGAAATATGTTTTTTTGTGTGTGTGCGTGTGTGCGTGTGCGCGCGTGTGCGTGTGTGTGTGGGCGTGTGGGTATGGGCGTATATTTATTTATATGTGTATATATGTATAAAATAGTAAAGACTTTGCAGAAATGAAATTTGACAATATAGTAATTATTAACTACTTTTCGAGGCGAAATAAGGCGCGTGGGAATGCTTCGAAGGAGAAAAAGCTTACCATTCATGACTCTTGATGTAGTTGTTTTCTTTGGCGATTCTATTATCACACTATCGAGAAAATCTTCTGGTAAAGACTGATTCGCCCGCTCAACATTGGACTTGTCTTCGTTATAAGATAGAGGCAACGACAAATCCAACGGGTTCACAAGGTCGAGGCTGACGTTACGAATGGGCTCCGGTACACCATAATCCTCCCCGACGTCTTCCTCCTCGTTTGTTATCGGCGAATTATAATCGACATAGCTCACATTTTTAAAGCTCCTCTTCCGGAACAACGTCGATTCATTGTCTTTTAATACAATGACGTCGGCTAAAACGTCCTCGTCGCTCGACAAGTTGATGGTCTTCTCTAATGCTGCTGGATTGTTCTCGACGAAGATAATGTCGCTGTCGTTCGAGATGTTATTTGAGCTGCACATTAAGATACATGAAACGGACTAAAGCTTTATTTACACGAGCTTGAGACAATGAGATGGTCGAATCCCATTAATTCCTAATCTAATTAATGGTCATCCCAGTGTCATTCGAATCCCAAATTATCATTCGATCGAACTTTGCAGACTAATAAAAATGAAGGAATAAGAATTATCTTGTGAGATGAAATATCATAATAAATATGTATATATATATATATATATATATATCGTATGGTTATAAAAAAAAAAAAAAAATAGTTCTCGACTATGATGTATCCGTTTATGTTAAGTTTAAATCGCAAGTTTAAGTATCAAAAGCGAGCAAAAATAAAAATTACCGATGGAGCGGCCCGAATGGAGCTTCGATACTTTAATACTCGTGGAATGAAAGCAAATTTGAAAGGAGCATTTTTACGAGAAGGCTTAACGAACCGAAATGAAATAACTAATTGAAAATCGAGAATGTCAGTAAGGTGAAACGTACCGTCAACCTTGGCGAAATTCTACTCTCCAAAGCCAAAAAAAAAAAAAAAATGCATGGCCACGGCAAATTATCGTTAATCCGCACTCGCAACAAATACAAAATGATCACCATTTCTTAAAGTCCTCGTCCTCGTAATCGTTATCAGTGAGCGGTGGGTCGCGTTCCTCCACGAGGAGCTCCGAGGATAAGGCTGTATTAACGAGGTCGAGAGTCGAAGGGCAGGGATCGGCATCCCGGATCGCGTTCGGCTGGCTTCGCTCGAGTTCGATCTGCGTTGGCGGTTTGATGCGCTGTCGCTGACCGTTCCCCTGACTAGATTTCATTAGCAGCACCGTCAACGACGAGACGTAATTCTCTTCGGGTTGCTCCTCGACCTCGAATCTACCATTATTTTCTCCCCCGGCGGCTTCACTTGCCTTCCCGACGCAGCTGTAATTACGGTAATTTCAACTTGGCGCCGAGTAACGAACGCTCGGTATCAACGGTCTGCGAGTCCTTGCAAATATAAAATATCCCTTTAAAGCCCGAGGAGATTGCCAAGGGCGCTGCGCTGCCAAACAAATAATTGCTCATCCCGTTCATTTGAGGGCATTAGCGATTTAGCGCGGCGTTTACTAAGCAATTGGCGATTGAGCCGATCGAGCCCGAAGATTATAACGATCGTACTGAGATCAAATAAAGCGTTTAATGAAACGCCGCCAGTCAATGTCGCCGACGAGAAAGAATAATTCGACGCTACTATGCCCCGTGAATAATGTCATTATGTCATAATCCATAATTTCTCGTACGATTAATATAAGCCAAGTACATGATTATTTATTACACATGTATAAGATTTTGTTTTTATGGGCGAATTAAGGAAAACGAGTTTGTTTACAATTTCGTTGATTATACTTTGAGGTCGAGCAAACACTTAAGCAACTGAAAATTTTTGAACAAACGCGCTCGATCTCGTTAAAATTACTTGGCATTTTAAGTTAATCGTTAGATTAAGAATTATGGTTATCGATTTTAATCCGAAAACGATCCCCCTTGAAATTATTTGTCAAAGTAATTTTTGGAAGAAGACAAAATGAATAAAGCAAAAGCATGGATACTTTGCACAATAATATACGTGCACGTCGTTCGTTCGCTCGCAAATGTTTATATTATTATAATAATGGCTAGAGTATAAAAAAAAAATATGCCTAGAATAGACATTGAATGTTATTAGAATACTAAAAGGACTGCATTTGTGTAACAAATTACTTCAACATTTATACTACAATTAAATCAATCGCCAAATATATTTATTTAGGTAAATACCTGGCTTTCGCGTCTTGATAACGTAAAGGTGAATCTTTTCTTCTTCCATTATCCATATTACTCGAGCTTTTCCTACCTTCTAACTTTCAACTATCTCGAGGCACTGCCGAAGCAATATAAATAAGATAATTTCCTCGAATTATTACCGCATATCACCCAATCACATGTAGTCTTCAGTCTCCATCCGTCAGCCCGTAGAAATATAAGAACAATATGAACGTTGAGCACGAACGTAATGTAATTCTGAAAATTCTTATCAGAAAACAATTGTAAATATCGATTCGTAAGTATAAAATAATAGGAATTATTATTTCCATCAACTTACAATCACACATCGTGATAGTCGATAGAATTTTAATTAACAATAAATACATTTATCTATTTTTAATTTAAATCTATTCGATCGTAGACGTAAGAAATCAATTCGCTTCGAAGAATAGACTGAACATTGATTAAGTCACTATTATAATTATAAAAATATTCATTATGTAAATCAAATTTTTAATATTGACATTGAAAATCTGCGGTCAAATCAAGTAATTTATTTAATAGAAGAAAGTCTTCTTACCGACACATAAAAATTACTCGACTTCGTTTAATTGAATACATTGTTTAATTCATTTGGCATGGGATAATGAAAATTATATCCTATTTTCATATTTGCATTTTGTTTCTCAATCTCAGTGACGACTATTCGATAATAATAAATATCTCTCTAAGGCAATTATCAATATATTGTAATTATATTGACGGATAAATGAGTCTCTTTATTGATAAATAACTATTTCAACAGTTAGTTGACGTATTTGCTTATTTTTCCGATTTCACTATAAAATTAAAATTAAACTAAATATTAAATATAGCGAAATTGAAAATTTAACCAAAACAATAGAATAGAGTACAAAACATATACATGTTGCTTAATGTATTGATTTATTGATAATTTGAACAAAATTATACATAAAGTAGAAGGCTTTTATATAATGATAGTTAAACATTAACTTAATGATATAATGAAAATAAAAATATATATAGCTATTCTTAGAATAAACATTTACTAATACTTTAATTTATTGTATTGTATTTAAAATTTCACAATTATTGCTCGAGTTTAAATCATTGAATATAATTTTTTCTGTATATTATGTTATTTGATAAATGAAAAAACAATTATTCTCCGAATATTACTTATATATATTACTTATATATATATATATATATAAATTATTATTTTTTGGTTACGGTAAATTTGTTCAAAGTGAGAAAAAAAAAATTATTCCTTAAAATACGCGACAAAATAAACTAATTATCGCTAAAAATGTTCAACTGAATACCTAATGATCTATTAGAATAAACATGTATTTCTAGATTTAATAAGCTCGTGAAATTAAAAATATATTTTGAAAGTAATAGACTCTTTTAATTAATAGATATTTATTTTTAGATATGTAAAATAACAAAGTAACTTCAATTTTTAATCTTTCTAATTAATAAAGAGAAAAATTTTTCAGAAAACTGTGTGAATGAAATTACTTATTAAAATTTAAAGGTTTTTTATAAAAAAAAAAAAAAAAAAAATATATATATATATATATATATATATATATATATAATATATGCCCTCATTTAATGAATAATAATAGTTTAAACTAAAGTATGTTATCATTTTGACAAATTTAACTTGACAATTTAACTAATTGCACCAGCTATAAGTTTTCAATTATAAATAAAAAATTTTTCATCAATAAAGGCTATCTTGTATTAGAAGATTATTTAAAAGCTCAGACGAGGAATTTATGAATGAAAATCTATTTTATAATTAAAAAAAATATATATTGAAGTACAAGGTATAAACGATTTCTTATTCAAAATTTTTTTACTCCTTCCTTACAATCTTTTCGTTTTTCGATCGCTTTTTTGTACACATTTTGTTATTACTATAATAATAATCATCATCACCACATTGCATTTATAACATATTTTCTCGCGGTATAAGTACTTATAAAATTTATATTGATTTTAGTCTGCCGATTTTTCTGTCATTTTTAATATTTGTTTTTATTCCTCTTATTCCTTCGATGAATATACGAATCGAGGACTTTCTCATGCTCACACATACAGATATATATGAGGCTTTGACGCTTGACGCCATACGTACATACAACAGATTCATTATCGTTGACAATTTTTGAGGATATGGAGGACGTGATATACGAGTGTATGGTATGGTATGTAATATGCCATACTGCGCGTTAAACGTCTTATTTTATACTTGAATTTCCTTCCCTTGATCCTGTCATTCTTTGTGTTCTTACGTGAATTATTTTTTCGGTTTCTTTTGACTAGGCGACGACAATAATTGACTAATATAAATATCAGAGATGATGTATGATCACAATCGACACACACGAGCTACGATCGTATCAAAACCTGTATTGCGTTACGTATTTTGCTGATAAAAAAAAAAAATAAAAAGCACCCTACTATATATCAAACTTTTATCATTTAACATTAGTTAACAAAGTGGTCCTAGGGATTCGTGATAATATTAACGCGTACCGAATTTAAATTGGCGTAAAGATGTTTCATCGTCATTACTTATTTCTCAATTATTAAAAATCATCCGATAATAAACGGCATATACAATATTTTGTACAAAAAAATATCTACTCGTTATTTCTTAAAGTTCATACAGTGTGCTTTTACATAACAAAATCGAAGACAAAAAAAAAACAAAAAAATAAAAACAAAAAATTAGTTGACTAAGAAGAAATTAGTAAATCAATGAAATTAGTCTCTTATCATTTGTACATTTTGATAAAGAAGTAATTGAATTTAATGAATATCTTAGAAGTGTGCAAAATATGTAAAAACTTGAATAATATTATATTATTTTGAACCCTGTGTGTTAAAAAAATATAATGTGGTAACATTAGATGAAAAAAAAAAATGTTCTCTTTACGAATTTCAATATATAAAAGATATAGATCACTTTCTTTTTTTACTTCGTACACATAATAATTGTTTGCGTTTTCACGATTGCTTTTTTTTTTTTTTTTTTTTTTTTTTTTTTTTTGTTATTTTTGTTTTTTATTCACACGTAAACACGCGAATAGGCACGTTACATTGTGTTTTCTCAACAGATATAGATTTAGGAAGATAGAGCGCGTTCAGGGTTATTCAATGCATGATAAAAGATATGTGTACAATAGAAATTTTATATAAAAAGTCGATATATGTACTTCTTTATGGACTCGCGCGTCAAATTTGTTTAATTTTTTATTTCATACATATTTTTCATTGATTTTTGTTTTATTTTGTTTTGTTTTGTTTTTTTTTTTTTTGTATTAAAATTTGTAATATTTAGAAAATAAATTTCTCGATAAAAAGTTCGACATACGATATACTTTATAAGCCTTTGCTCTACGTGACATTATCGTACTTTAATATTACGCGCAATCAATTTATTTAATTGATTATATTTTTTCTTTTTCACTTTTTCTTATCTACTTTTAACTAATTACTAAAAAATACTCTCAACATGCTTACATTTGAATAATTTCTTCCTAATTAAGATAATTTTAACTAAGGTAGGCGTAATGTTTATTTATAAACTTTATGAGTAAAAACCTTAGCACAGCGTAATTTTATAATTAAGCTAAGGCTCCGTAAGCTTTTCGTTATAAAAGTATCTTATAAATTTTATCTCTCATACTAATTACTATAAGCATACTATTATTAGCAAGCATATCATTATTATTTTTAATACATTTACCTACTTCGAATGGCAACTGAATTTTGCTATTTTTATATATTTTGAAGAATTTTAACCAACAAAATAACACTTTAAAAATTTGCAGTGTAAGAAGAATTATTACGAACGGTCGATAAAAGATAGACAGTTATACATAAATATTCCTTAACAAAGCTCCCTTTGTTATACGAAAAGAAAAAAAAAATAAAAAAAAGAAAAAAAGAAAAGAAAAAAGATGAAAAAAATTAAGAGAGAAAAGTTATCTTAAGTTGACATTGTTTGATTTATCTTTTACAATTGAAGCGACATAGATTTAACACTAATTATCTAAGTGCTAGTTTCAACAATTTATGATAATTTTGTTCACTTACAATGTTATATATTATTTTAATTGGTTGAGACTTAACGTATAAAAGATTGCTTAAGAGTCATTTACGAGTTTGAATAAAAAAATTTGCGACATCGTAATGAAATATTTGAACGATAATTTGTTATTTATTAGACACTTTGTTTTATTTAATATTAAGATAAAAAAATATAAAAAAAAACACAGTACTATATTATTCTGTAGAATATACGAAATTTTATATCCAACATTTTTTTTTTTAACATAAAATAAAACAAAAATTTATGAATAAAATTTTGTTGCTTGCAAATTATATTGCAACATTATTAAATTTGCTTGCTGCGCTCGCTGTCGCAATATTATTATTTACTTATGATGACAATGCTTTTCACGATGCATAATAATTCTTTTCAACCTCAACGTAAAATAGTGGCTATTATGATAAGACTCTAAAAAAATTATAAGTCCCTCCTAATGTCCTCTTACGTCGATCGACAATAGCAGCGCAGCCTTTGTTACGTAATCGGTGTATCATCGTTCCTTCTCCCCTTATCCATCATCATTTTAAATTCATATTTTGTGCCGCTCATTTGCCGCTCGACCTTTATTTATCGCTTTTGACTTCTCTAACACAAGACATTATTAATAAAAGCCTAGGAAGCTGCATTAGATGCTTCCGGTTAGAATTAATGAGGGAACGATATTAGACACAGACACGCACACGCACACGCGCACTCACACGCACACGCACACTCACACGCACACGCACACGCGTCCCACAGGCCCCCACCGGCCCTAGGAGTGAGATGAAAAACGTCCGTCCTAGGACTTCGAGTGCGTCAACAAGTGGTATTGTTACGCCGAGGGCGTGAAGGACATTTCCATGGTGATGCCAGAGTGGCCGCGGCGAAATTTCGATGAGACGTCGTTGCTGTTGCGAGGTTTGCGGCGACTCAGGTGCCTCTCCACCCACTTGAGCATTGTGAGGACGGAGTCGGTGCTGGGTAAACGGCGCTCTGCCGACGTGCGGATTATGTGCGAGGAAGCAACGCGGAACGTCGCCGCCATGCCCTTCAACGCCTATTGAGAAATTAAAAAGTTTTGTAATTAAAGAAGCGTGGTTAAGCATAATTAAGCAAACAGATGACTTATGATCTAATGATTACGAACGGCCAAATATTGATTTTATATACGAAACCATTTATACCGACCGATTCCGTTAAACTCATCATTATTAATGCATTGATTAATTGATTGATTTGTTGCTGAATTTAAAGAGAAACGTCAAAGTTTGAGCTAAACCGGTTGTTTAGCATAGGATGCTCGATCACGGTGGTACTTTAGTAGGAGATATTAAGATTAATATTGTTAAGCACACATATATTAGCTAACGCATAATAAGTGACCAACGAACACATTAATTCCTAAAATTTTAATGCTTATTCAATATGTGTAATTCATCTAATTTTAACGCACATTATACGTACTGAGATAGTTAAGAAAGGTAACAAATTTTAATTCCAATCGCATGGATATTTTATCGATTATTAGTATAAGCTGGTACGCCGCAAAATTCTACTTAATTTACTTGATAATCACGCTACTTTCTAAAGGAAATCAATGTATAAAAGCCATTAAAATAAGCTTTAAAATTTTAAACAAACGAGCAATAATGATAATTTTAACTTTTTTACACATATGTTTATCGTTAATCGATTATCATTAACTTTAATTGGTATTTATTAATCAACTGTATTTACATCATTGGGATAATTGATATTGCATCTTTATGAATAATATATGCGCACGGCTTAGACGACTAATATATCTCGCAAACGACACCTCCCAAACATATAATTACATATTAATAATTAACAATTGTCATTGTGAGAAGAATGCATTGATTGCTATTTGTTGATTGCTATTGATTGATGCACGACTACCTACTATGAGCTTTGCAAATCAGTGTATATCAGTGTAAATAAAATCGATCGTACTTTCATGGCGTCTTCATCCGTGGCGTCGTCACCCGCGTAAATAATTCGGATTCTCTCGCTCCAGTCGAGACCAAATGCCGTGCGTAAGATGTAGATGGAGGCGCGGCCCTTGTTCCATTCCACCGGTGGCTTAGCCTCGAGGGCGCAATGTGCCGCGCAAGCCTTGAAATCCGCGTCCTCGATCAACTTCTTCGCCTGCTCGACCATCCGCGCTCGATGCTCCATCGGTGTTTCACGATAATGAAACGTCAAGAGGGCGCCCTTGTTCTCCACCCAGGCACCGTACTTACACACCTACGCATTAACAACCAACACCGACATATTAACTATACGCATAGCACATAGATTTTTAAGGTACTTTATTGGCTACTTTATTATTACTCTCCTGTATATAGTGTGACTTCTCTAATCCAATGGGATTACATGGGATTGTGATTTATCGTAACGGGATTAGATAAATTGCATATATGTGCGAATATTTGCAGGTATTGTTAGAGTAGAAGGGGATCGTAGAAGACGATCGATAAAATAATCGACACGGATAAGATGGACTGATATTCAAGGTTTAGGCGTTAATTATTAGTTTCGCTTAGTCCTACCTGATCCTGTAGAGACTGCATAAGGCACGCGACTTTGTTCTCGAAGACCGCTGGCATGGGATGCACGAATTTGCTTCCATCTGGATGCAGAATTTCCAGTCCATGATTGCCAGCGTAAGTGATTCCTTCGATTCCCACCATCGACTTAACATTGTTGACGTTCCTTCCCGATATAATCGCGATATAAACGTCCTGCAGATTTGACAATCTTTGCAGCACGTTTTTCGTTTCGATGGGTAGAATCGCGAGGTCCGGGTGCGTAGCGATTGGCGCCAAGGTACCATCGTAGTCCAGTAGAAGGGCCAGTTTGTGATTCTCACCGATATACCTAGGGGACATGCGCCATCATTTGAGCGTTACCCGGCTTTCATCATGAGTTAGGTTGTCATCGCACGCGCGGGCCCGCCTTTCATGTACTTTTTTTTCTCTTTGCATTACTGTTGGATCGTAGCTTTTCTTAATATTCCATTTTTTATTTTGCTTTCAAAATGCATGGCAGTCATCTCATATATACATAATTTTTTTTTTTTTTTTTAATGCTTTTCTTTTTTCTTTTTTTCTTTCATTTTTTTTTTTTTTTTTTTTTTTTTTTTTTTTTTTTTTGTTTTTTTTTTAATATTTAATTTTTTCATCCACTGTTTAATTCTCACATAATCTCGATATTCTCATAATAATCAAGAACTTTTGTCAAGAATTATAAGTCGTTTATTATGTTGCATTTTGTTAGCATCTTATTTGCTTCATGCACAATTTAATAATGGAAAAAAGCCTACGCGGCGATGTTCCCAAACTCATGCTTAGTTTTTTTATAGCACTAGTTTTAATAGCATTAAATGTTAAATAGAATTAATGAACCTGAAAAGATAGTTGAATATAAGTAATGAGATATATAAATTGAAAGGCTTTTTTTTTTCAAGCGATCATTCAACTCTGTAGGATGAGCTTTCGTTACATTATAATCAATTGAATTTCTTGCAAAAACATTGAAGACAAACTTTAACGTAATTGACGTATGTGAGTGTACACGCACACGCGCGTGTCACACGAATGTGTCACTTATACGATTTGTACGAATTTATGAGTTCGTAGGAAAATTTTTTTTTCAAATTTCGTTTCAACGATTCGGTAATTTAAAGATGTTTTACTTTAAAAAGATCCACGATTAAATCCTCACATTTAATTTTTCTTAATTTTCTTCTTTTTTTTTTGCTTTTTTTTGCTTTTTTTTTTTTTTTTAATCAGAATACATTTCTTAGTAAAAAAAAAACGCGAGAATGTTGAAAAGAAAATCAAGTATTTAGATAATTACTCGCGATGTTAAGACTAAAAATCATGTAATTTTAATTTGAAATTCAAGTGCATTATTTTTTCACAGAAATTTTATCATGAAAAAGAGCTTTGAGAGAACGTTCGATCTACGAATGAGCTGTTTAGAAATGAAAATAATGAAAATAAGTTGTTTTAATATGTAATGAATCGAGTGAGGAGGATCGGGACGAGAAGATAAAGACATTATATATAAAAGTAAGTAGTGCAGAGTAAAAGGTATATTATTATTGCACGTAGTAGTGTCAGATAATTACATTGCATTACTTTTTTCACGTCCTAGTAATGAGTCATGTGCTCGCAACTTTTATATTAAAATGATGAATTGGTCGATAGGCAAAAAAAATGTAATCGACAATGTAAATATATTCGTGGCTGAATCATACTACTTTAATGTACGGTAATTGATGACACGCTTAATAATTGCAATTAAATAATAAATGACATAATTCAGTTGTGCAAAAAGTTAGTATTCGAAAATATTTTAAAATAGAAAAATTGATAAAATAATTCAATTATTCAAAATAGTTCAATTATTACAGCATTGCATTTCATAATTGTGTTCTTTTAACGTATTAGATAATTTATAAGTGTTTGTTTAAAAAAAATTTTTTTTTTTTTATAAGAAATAATAATAAACGCGAATAAAATTAATGTTAATGTACATTTAACAATATTATACTTTAGCGAAGATACAAAATTTATTCTTTTTTTTATAATCTTATAATCCATTTGACATTTTTAATTTACGTACTATAAAATTTTTTAAATTCGCGTTATTATAAATGTATTGTAAGACGGATTAATTTCTATTGCACAGTATGATCTTACATATTCGAAGAGGAATTATTCACGGATAAAGATAATCCGTATAATTATAAAAGTCTATAAAAGTTATACGAGTAAATTGACGTGGCCGAGAAATGTACACGCAACTCCATCTGTCATCTATTCGACTAAATAACAGCATCAGCATTATTAATTTAGTTTATGGAATATCCATGCTATTACCGATATCCTTTCGATCCTTGATTTACATTCGCATTATACTATTAATTTTTCTCGCTAATATCGATAGTGACAAGCCGTCAATTATCGTACCCGATAATCATTATTAATTTATTTTAAAACACCGATGGAGAAGTCTATTGCAATCCAGGTAGCCAATAAGCAAAATGAGGGGGTGTTTATTTAAGAATAAACCCAAGTGAGAGTGCCATGCAATTCATGTATAAACAGCGTGCGAATGTTACTGGCTTTACATGCGCTGGTCGGGCCCATAATCCACGCCCCCGGACATCCTCGATACTTACTTGCTCAGATAATCGTCAAAATCGTCCATTGTGACGGGCTGCATGACCGTGGCGCCAACCGAGTCTCGCTCTTCCAGGGAGCCCATTACCTGCAGGAACGACTTCATCCAGTGGTTAACGTCGTATAATCTCTCACGACGCCGAAGATGATTCATTCTCAGCGTACGCTCATCCTCCGGCATCGTCAACGCTCTATAATCAAATGAGTCGTTTTTGTTTTTTTCCTTTAGTTTTCAAGCCACTTAATTACCACTCCCGGACTCCCGTTATACCTCGCGCGTTCTAATAATATCTCTGCACTGCATTAGATAATACGGCGCGTAATTATAAAACGGTAATGGTGTAAATGCCCGGTAATGCGCCCTGGTGACTGCACCTACCTGTGAATAACCTCAGCGGCTTCGTCGATTTCATAAGGATTACAAATGAGGGCCTCGTGCATCATCTCCCCGGCTCCCGCGAAGGGCGAAACGATCAGTACACCCGGTGGGGTATTGATCTGACAGGCGACAAACTCCTTGGCGACGAGATTCATGCCATCCCTGAGTGGAGTGACCAAGGCCACAGCGGCATCTCTGTAGAAGGCTGCTAATTCGTCTTGGCTGACGCAACCGTAAATGTAACGTATCGGGGACCAATTGGGTGTGGTGAAACGGCCGTTTATCGATCCAATCAACTGGTCCATCTCCAGTTTCAAATCTTGGTACTCGCGCACGTCCGTGCGCGATGGCACGGCAATTTGCAGCATTGTCACCTAATAATGCGCATTTCACTCAATTCGCTCATTCGTCTGGTTATGTTTACTTTGTTATTTCAATAGGGATTTGGAATGATAATATTAGCCGTGGAATAGGGAGGGGAGGGGGCATGAGATTTAAAAATGTAGAAGAATGATAATTTTCCAGTAATTTACTTAATAAGAATGGAGCTTAAATTTACAAGTATATTAATTATTTCGAATTTATCGATTAAAGTTGAGAAATTAGCATAGGCATGAGTGAAACGTAGTTTGTTTCAACGAGATTTGGATGCAGCAGTGCTGATGTACTGTACACAAATTCTCAAATAGAAAATACTATTGTCGAGCGCGCAGATTTTCCTTTATCTTAGGCTACGCATACTATATTCTACATTTTCGTCATGACATAGTTTTATTCTTGTTAATTTTATTCATTTTTTTATTTGCGATACAAGATTGCTATTAAAATGAGTTCAATAGTCTTCATTCGATGCAAACACTTACTACTTCAGACTTGACAATTATCGAAGCTTATGAATAAAAAAAATTCATTTAAATCGTGAAATTATTTAGCGACGTTCTTGTCGGCCTTTAAAATATTTTTTTTTCCCGTACTATGTAATTCCGTATGCGCCAGTAAAAATGTAGAAAGGGACGCTCGTTAAATTTAAAATGAAAAACGAATTGTGCAACGATAATCGCTGCGGGAGGCTGGGAAGAGAGAGAGAGAGAGAGAGAGAGAGAGTGAGAGAGAAAGAGCGGATGGAGACATGATATAGCAAATAGATTTAAAATGTTCTCATCTACTAGAGCGAATGATAATCAGATACGCGTGGCTCTCAGGTAAAATAAACTTGTATATTCCAAAAGGCTCGCTGCAATAGATCTTCGACTAAAAATTCGCCCCCTCCCCCTCCCCCAATAATAGGTAATACGGCAAAATTATATAAAACTCCTTTCACCTGTTCCCGATGCTCCAGATGCTTCTCCATCAACATCTCGAAAGCCTTCAGCCTATGCACGAGACCCTTGGTATAGTCGAGCCGATCGACTCCGAGGACGATCTTCTGGTTGGTAAGCATGACCTTGGGGGCTGTCTCGGCCATGGAGACGAAGCGATCGAAAGGTATCCCAATGGGCAGGGGCCTGACGCGAACGGTGCGACCCCCGTGCTCGACGAGCAAATTCTTTCGGTCGACTCTACAGCCAAGGCTACGCTGACAACAGTCCACGAAGTTCAAACAGTAATCCTCTATGTGGAAGCCAACCATGTCGCATCCTGCACATTACCAAATAGACCATTGTACCGTAGCACATCGAGCGATGCTTTTGCTGGCATTTTAATTTTCATTTCATTCGATTTGCCCACTTTAGTGATTCCTGAGTAACTAAGAAATTGCGAGATAGCGTTGCGAAATAATATTATCATCCACAAGGTGAAAGGGCTTATCGTTTGAATAAAAACAAATGCGAGACAAAGCAAAATGAAATGCTGCCAGTGATCCAGGGAGATAGACGAAACGATGGCTTTTCGCCGACTATGTCGATAATTTGAAAGATATCCTCGACAAAACAATATTCTGGCTTATTATTGTGCCTTATTTATAAACAGAACAATCTTTAATGATAAGAAGAGCATTATTGTCGCCCGTCATGTACGTCATTTTTCATTTAATAAACGCGTTCGTCAATGACTCGTCGCAATCCATAAAATTCTACACCCACTTACGAGTATCTTTAAATCTTACCTAACATTCCCTGAAGGATTTCGTCTGCCCAGGGGAACAATCGAAAGATGTCCCACGGAGGAAAAGGAATGTGAAGAAAGAAACCGAGCTTAAGTTTAAGATTTTTGTCATCGGCCGCCTGCCTGACCCAATTGGCAGCCAACATTAAATGATAATCGTGTATCCAAACTAGCGGTGTACCATTACTCTGACCTTCTTGTTCCTTGTGTATTTGTTCTAACGCTCTGACCTGAATGACAAAAAATCATAAATTTACACATAAATAATGAACTAATGCCAGTCGAATATAAAATTCCAATTCCGATGCATTATCTTATCCCGACAATCAAATTTCCGAATTAATCTCTCCACGTCTCGCTCTTCCACATCATTCTTCAATCTCTTCATCTTACTTTAATTTATCAAGAATTTTATTGAATTGAAGAATTAAATCGAACTAACGAATTATTTAGGCAATAGGCAATAATGCTCCGTAATCGATTGAATTTTACTCGCAAGTTCTATAATTTCAAACCAAGACAATATTTTCTCGACATTACTCGCTATTACCGCGCTACTTTCAAACACGATGAAAGAGAGAGAGAGAGAGAGAGAGAGAGAGAGAGAGAGAGAGAGAGAGAAAAGAATGAGAAAGCCTCATACGTCGGCCTGTAATTATAATAATACTCCTCTTTTAGTTTCGTCAAGATGCCGAGGGCTTTACCGTTTTCGCAGCAAATTCTTCATTTACAATACTGTAAGCCTTCCAATGATCCGCGATGAACGTCGCTCTGTCTGGCATCGAATGAAAAAGTGGCCAGAAAGTACCGTTGCAACAGCCATTGTAGTACGAGTCGAAAATTGTGGGCTCCACATGCACTGCCACAACCTGTAAATCATCCCAACAAATTCAACTAAACTTACTATTCGTTTATAATACTTTTATATTATATGTGTTTGTCTTGCGCACATCACTGAAAATGAAAGTAAATTAAAAATAATCGAATAGTCACTAGTATGAAAGATTCTATTACACTTTTCAATTTATTTAATATACTTATGATAGAGATAATTTTTTTTATAAACTCACATCACGTAACTACTAACTATTCCCATGTCCTTGCATATGTGACATGCATATGTGACTTTAACTTATTATCATTAGACAGAGTACGTTAAAGTTTAATGATATCGATGGCAAAATGAAATAATAAAAAGACGATGTAAAAGTAGTTGAATGAAGAATCATATTGATCTAATTAATTACCTAACATATAGTTCTTACAACTATAATCGGCTAAAATTAACATCATAATTCCATTGGAATACAGTATACAGCAATTTAATAAAATATAAATCTTAAGAGTTCATGCACAATCACAGAAATAGTGATGCAATAACGGCGAATGTAAGTAAACGCATTTCTAGAAATAACGAGATAATATACGAAAAAAGGAAAAATAAAAAAAATACCGGTCTTTTTTTTTTTTTTAAATAAAGCAGTCAAAAGTATACGGATACTAGATTATTGGTAAATAAAAATAAAATTGCCAAATCCGTGGATAATGTAAAAAGAATAAATTAATATAAATTTCTCATAATACTTCATCGATCATTACTCTTCGATGTATTTACATTCGCTATTATGTTTCCCAATCATTTTACTACTTCACTCTTTTTTAATAGCCGACGTGTAAAAGAAATTTAGAAAATTGAATAATTATTCAACTACATAATTATTAAAACAGACTCCATTAATATGATGGAATTTATAAGAATAATTATGATGAATTCATGACAACAATTACAATAAATGTATCTGTAATATTCACAAAAGCTATCTCATAAAGTAGGATACAAAATTTATTATTTTATTAAAAACCCATTAGCAAAATGAATTTCAAATAACAACAACTGAATCAATGTATATACTTGAAGATAAAAATTAACTAAATAACATTTGGCTTTCTCGATAAAAACTGATAAGCTTTTTATTCCTTTTTATTCCGTAACACATATATTCTCTCTCTCTCTCTCTCTCTCTCTCTCTCTGTATATGTATATGTATATGTATATGTATATGTATATGTATATTTATATATATATGTATATATATATATATATATATATATATATACAAACATAAATTTAATAATTAAATAATGAACTCAATTAATATCACTGATCTAATAGTAATCCCTTTTTGTAAAAAAAATAACAGTGTTTTTCATACCTTGACTAATAATTTTTATATATTAAATTAAATTACTTTATTTTAATTTAATTAAGAAAACGAATTATTAGAAATTTTTGCCATTATAGATTAATAAATGTAATTAAAGGGGAAGTTTAATTAATGTTCCCTCTGGAAATGAATGAAAATAGAGAATTTTACAATATTTTGAACTATTTATTATAAACTATTGAAATTAAACAAAATATTTAAAATATTAAAAATTATGTACATTAAATAATGGACTGATTATAATAATTAAAATACCTGATAAATATACTATAAAATTATTTTTATAGTTAAATTATATAACTGTATAATATTTTTTTTATTAAGCAGACTATATATATCTTTTATCATTAATCAATGAAATTTTCAAGATGATTTTTTAATTTTGAAAAACTGAAAAAAATTTAAAAGAATTTGTTTTATTTTAACTTTTGAATTTTCCCTATTTTTAAGTACAGATTTCTATTACTTTACAAAATCTTTAACAAGATAATAAAATACGAATAATTGTTTTATCTAGAATAATATTTCAACAATAGTATTTCTATTTTTAGTAATATTTACGCGTTAACTTAAGATCTCATCGTAATCTATCTTTAAACAATACAACCTCATTTTATTAATATTTTTTTGATTTTCAAATACACCACTTATCTGAAAGTTAAATATTTTATTGAAAATTTATTATTCTTTTTTCAATTTAATTGGTACTTGGAATTCTGAAACTCCTTTCATTATTATTTATAAATTTATTACAAATTTCAAAAATAAACCTTCAGATCAGCCCTAATAAATAAGTAATATCTTTAATACAATCACCGAAAATGAATAAACATATTTTTCTTCTTTTAGACTATACATATTAATAAAGTATTTTTATTGCACTACAAACATAATCAATCTTTAAAGTAGTTGATAAGTGTATGCAAGTTAAAAAAATATTTTATAAATATGATGATGTACAATTAAAGATAAATTAATGTACATGTCATCTACGTATCGTACAGTTGTGTCGATAAAAGAATTTTTCAATATTATTCAGGGTTTCTTCTGAATAATAAATGAAATTTAATAAAATTGTTAATTGTACTACGACGCATCTTTATACCACTGATATAATTTATAATTTTTATAAATAATAATTTTTAAGCTTTAAACTTGGTACCAATTACTTTCAATGTAGAATACAATGACAAACTTATTCAACATTATAAAATAAATTTTTTGATTATTTAAAGACTTTCTATAAATTTGTATGACTCTGTATAATTGATATATTTTTAATCGAAATCTTAGCATATATATATATATTTTTTTTTTTTTTTCACCTTGAATTGTACCTTCTGTATTGTAAATAATTGATACCAAGTTTGAAGCTTAAATATTATTTTTCCAATATATACATGAAAGAAAATTTCTTTTTTACTTGAATTCATTAAATTTCAATTTATCATGGTAATATCCTTTTCACGATGTTATATACAAGTATATATGACATTAAAAATCATTTACAAGAATGAAATAAAAAAAAAAACGAATGCATAATAAATTATTTCAGACGTTATTTTGTAAAATTAAAACGTTTTATCCTCATCATCGCAAAAACGCGAAAAAATAGTTTCCTTTCTACCTTACTTTATAGCTAATTACAGTTTATTTTGACTAAGAGTATTATAGAAATATTTATTATTAATGTTTTATATTAAAAATATTTACAAAAAAAAAAAATAATCATGACAATAAACTATTTAAAAAGTTCAATTTCTATGTTTATATGTATAAACTTAAATATTGTTAGCAATGTACATTATTCTTAATATATATTCAACAATTAATAAGCCGAACATTTTTTAAGTAATCCGATACACACAATTGTAATAATACATATTATAATGAAGTCGAAATAATATAATAACCAGCTATACAATTTTTTAATTATTCAAAAAGACACTTAAACTTTTAAATAGCGACTATAGAATTTTATATAATGTAACTTACAATTAAACTAAAAATTTATCAAATTCAAGCAATTTGGTCGACAATGACTAGATGATAGAATTAATTTAATATTATTTATAATATTAGAATGTTAGAGTAATAAAAACTTAATTATTATGAAATTAATAACTAGTTTTCTTTAAATCGACGTTTTGTCAGGCAACTAATCTCTAACTGATTTAACTAATCTTCAATAAGAAATCCATTTAACTCTGAATTCAATTAATAGCTCATAATTAATTTAATTTTTTAAATAATTATGTAATAAATAAATAAAATCTTATACATTACTAAACAGAAGTCGCAAGGTTTCTGAATCAATTTAATGTTTAATATTTAACCTGAATATTTAAACTTTTTTAATAATACATGACTGTATATTCTTATATCTGAAATGTGTAAATTTATTGCCATATAATATTATTCTATAATAGCAGTCATTTATCAGTTATTGTTTGTATTATGGATTATACATTTTTGCAGGAAATAAAAATTCATAAGTATTTATCGAGAATTACTTTATATCGTCAATAGAATAATGTATCATTAAAACTTGCAACTAAAAAAATTATTTGTAATATTACACTTTGTAATTTCACTTTATTTGATATAAGCATATCATTTTACTTAAATTTTAACTTAATTGTACATATCAATACAATTTTACATCCCTTCCTTAATTACTTTTACTTAAAGCTTCTTTTATCGAATGATATTAGCCTTAATAAATAATATTTTTAAGATTACAAAATTTTGACTGTTAAATCTAAAGTAATTGAGAAATGTATTTTTTTTTTTTACGTTACATACACTCGGTTAATTAATCTTATCGATATTGCTTTCAGGCTTACTATCAGTACTTCGAAATATATTGAGGATACGGCCTTCAATTATAATCTATAGTAGTTAATAAGAGAATATGTACTTGTGAAGATCCTAATGAACCTAATCAGTTTATTTGTATATATTTATATATAATTATTTATTTGTATAAACATTAGTCATCGGAACAAAGAATATCTGTCTACCAACGAACTCATCTTAGTCGAAGAATTCTAGGAACGCATTAAAGTTTGGAACTTAACAAAAAATCGTCTGATTTTGAATTTTACTGTAGCATTAAAAACCCAAAAGTCCATTAATTCATTAGCGCATGTGCGCATACATTTCCTATACATTTCCTCACATTTATCTATTATACTTGATCATGACCTATTTACTTTAAATTCAGTTTAATGTTATCTCTTCACCTTTATCTACTTCTTTTTTTTTTTTTAATCATCATTTATTTTCCTATTTTTCCATTAAAACAACACATTTTTATGTCTTCGTTATAACGATATATGAAAAATATGAAACGAAATGAAAAGTGTATTATTATAGCTGTGGACAATCGCATAAAACTAGAATTTATTTAAGACAGGTTTTTAAACAATTTATAATAGAAACATTCATTATACATATTACATTATCTAGTGTCAATCCAATTGCATAATAATTAATATTCTTCAAAATATTGAAATAGTTAATGGAGTATTTGCCGAAATTTAAAAATCGATAAATGATAGATTATTATATCGAAAGACAAATTTATTATTTTGGATATTAAATTATCACTAATAAAATTCAAATAAAAACTGAAATAATTCATTTCACTAATACGTTTAACTAAACGCATTCATAAAAACAAATTCAATGAAGATCCATCCTCTAACGTTTCTAGTGATACTATTATATTATCATAAAAAGTATTTTGAATGAGCTTATATGTAGACACATATTGTATAATCAGATATTGTGCAAGGGATTTCAGTTATAGAAATGTATCATTCAATTTTATAGTTAGAAAGAAATAATTTGCTCAACGTTGAAAACCGATTATTCATAGCGTGACATTACGAACTTTTAAAAAATTGATATTATTCATTACATTCGACGATTTTGGTTAATCTTTGAAATACATAAAAAGATTTTTTTTTAAAAATTTTCTTTTTTTTCTTTTTTTTTTTTTTTTTTTTGTTCAATCAATATTTCTCTAGCTGATATACATCCATAGTTATAGAGATATTTTACTTAAAAATTCAAATTTTTATATATATTTATTGACAAGACTGTAATTTTTTTTTCAAATAGATTAACAAAAAGTTATGAACGAGTAAAATAATTCTAACAATGAATTTAATGATAAATACATATATCTTTCATACCACCTGTGTAAAGTCAAGAAGTTTATTTATAAATTTCTCATAATTTCTAAAATATTTAAAATTTTTATTTTATCTACATATAATAGAATTTAGATCTTATAACATATACAATATTAATGACGTTCGATTGTGATATTAAATCTAATTAAATATATATATATATATAAATTAAATGTGTCAAACTAAATTCAAAATTAATTAACTTGATCACTTAATCAAAGTTCACAATGACCGCTAATAAAAAAAGTAAAGATGTTGTTACGACTTAAATTGATTGTATATTTGCGTCATTTAGTTTATTTTTGATAAAAATGTACGGTCGGTCAATAATAAAATATGATACGATAAATAATGATAAAAATGAGAAACTTAGAATAACAAAGTTTATAAACTTAATTTTTAGAATACTTATTATTAATTTATAATTATAATATATTATTTAATATCTCTTGAAAAATAAAATAAGTATTAGCAAATTTATACATTCTACTGTTTCTCTATATAAGATTTATGTAAATGTTTTACAATTACTTCTACGCTATTTACAAAATAAATATAATTATTAAGATTACACAGACTGAAATTATTTCAAACATTTTAAAAACAATAAATTTACGTTTAACGAATTAATGCATCTATAAAACTAAAATTCTAAAATCTTATAATAAAGAAATTTTTTGTAAACATTTTTCTCAAAATTGTCTTGAGCTCATTCATGTATTAGGAAAATTAGTTAAATATTCTTTTTATCGCAAATTTCTATCTAATTAATAACAAATAAATAACGAAAAAAATTACTTTTGTACTTATTTAAACGTCGACTGATCAATCAATAACAGCTTATAACTAAAGTATTCTATAAGTTTATAAGAAATCAATATTATTTGGATGAAAGAAATATGAAATTGTAAGTATTCAAAGATAAAACCAAAATTTATATTATAAATTTCAAGCAAACACATTTTATCTCTTCTAAAATATTCATTTAAATATTTGAAAAGAAACTATTAATACCTAGAACATTAATCTAAATAAATTACTGAATAAACAATTTGATTAATTAAGTGATAAATATTAATACATGAGATTAATAATTTTAATGTGAATATATCATGGAAATTAAGTCGCAAATGGATGAAGTGATTATAATAAACACTTTATGTGAGATAAAATATGCAAGTTTTTTAGAAAAGCATAGAAAAATATATTACAAGTGCTTCTAAAACTCATAATACACAAATATTCAACTTTAAACTTTTTCCAATTAAAAGATACATACAATGCAGCCGTATACATGAATATCGATTATTATATATAGTTTTGACGGTTTAGAAAATCCACAAGTAGATTCAATTATATTCTCAAAGAACTATGCCTTTATTACCCAACGATCACAGATTTCAATTAAACTATACACAATTTCACAATCTAATTCATATTCAAACCGAATAAAATTAATTGTTTATAAACAGTATAATACTCATTCATCTTCTTTTATACACGAATTAAGACTTATGAAAGGTTATGAAAAAATTAATTTCAATAAAATTATAAAATAATTATATAATTAAGTGTTTCTCTAATATTGCAATTTTATTGCAATTTACAAATTCAACGGTAATAAGCAAATGAAATATAATTAAAAATTGTCCCTTGTCCCCCACAAAACAAGACATAGATTACAAATGACACGTGAAAAGCTGTACTAGAATAACTTATAAAATAAAAGAATATTACGTAGATATTTGAATCTCACGTATTTTATATTTCATATTTTTATAATAATATATTGAATATATAACGAAATATAGCTTATCCCCTTACTTTTCGAGATAACAATCCAGCAGTGGGTGTCCTGTCATTTGGATCAGATTCAGGAATAGGCTCGTTCGGATTATCCATATGCACTCCTGGCCATCCAACCCAAACTCCATTTCCGTTTATAACCACTGGAGCAACAGCAGTAACAAGACCACCAGCGCTAAAAAACAATCATATTGATAATATTTCATTATTAACAATACATAAGTAGAGCGTATTGATTCATCTCAAATATAAAAAAAAATTTCTTTTGTTTTATATAAGTTTATATAAGTTTATATAATTTTAATTTCAATAATCGAATTTCTTCGATCCAAAAAATGTTTTTATGGAAATACATTTATCTGCGTTAGACTATTAAGTAATAAAAGTCTTGTAAATTATTGTAAGAAAAGATGATACATGTTCGAAATTTAGTTTTTCTAATTTAAAAATTATATTTTATTCAAACTAATGTAGAAAATAGATTCGGTTAATTTGTAACTATAGATATATGTTCAAATATATACAAAATTTTTCAATAAAAGATAAAAATAATCACTTCATTATAAATAAAATTTTAAAACTTTCTATAAAAATACAACTTTCTGTTCAGCATTTGAAAGGTAAAAAAACTTTTGATCATTCGAAAAACTATTAGAATGACGGTTATTTGTTTATTAATATTGGTGAAATTTTAAAACTAAACTTTCTAATATTTACAGTATATAGTTATCAAAATAATTTTTGCATTATCATAGCTTCAGGTATTTCTCGGAACAACAATGATAACGTGGCACTTTATTTTGTAAATGTCAATGATTTTTCCTTGGTCGTCCTCGTATCAGTATAATAGCGCAAAATCGCACGCTTACGTCATCATATAAATGACAATATGAATCGAATAAAAAATATAATGTCTCTTTACTAACCCTTTTTACTAACCCTAATAAAATTAATAATCTTTCTAAAAAAAAAAAAAAGAGAGAGAGAGAGAGAGAGAAAAAATGTTCACATCTTCGTTAAGAAAATTAATATTAAAATTTAGGCTAAATTTTAATATCAGATTTAATATATATAATACTTAATCCTCGATGATGACGATTATAAAAATTATATAATTACATAACTATATTAGCGATGTTATAAAATATATGTAAGACTACAAGAAGGCGGAATGTATTTTTCACTTTCATCTAGCTTGGATTCTCTTTAATTAAACTCTAATCATTTTAAAGTACATTGTCCTTATTCTAAACATGTTAATATAAGAATTTATAGTTATAAATAACTAAAAATATAAAAATTACGAATAGATAATTTTCTGTAATAAATGCAACAATATTATTTGAAATTGTTTAATAATGTTTCAAGAATTAATAATGTTTTAAATTATATTTTATTAAAAAATTAACACACAACATTATTATTCTTTTTTTTCTCAATCGCTTTTTTAAAATATCAACGACCCATTAATCAACCAAATTATCTCAAAAATATTTCAATCATTTCAAATAAATTAATCAAATTAATTTTATACTCTTATAACGATCAGAGATATGATGCACTTTTGGCATTAAAATTCAAATGATTGGTGATTCTACCATTATTATTGTTCTTAGTATTATCTTATATTATGTTCTATAATCGTTATCGATAATAATATCATTGTTATTTATTATTGTTACCGTCTTTATCGTCATCAGTCTTGTTATTATTATAATTCTTTATAAGTCGTTTATTAAATATTAATACTACAGACAATAAAATAATTTCATAATTAAAACAAATTTAGCACATACAATTAAAGTTTTAATGATTAGTAAATAAATAATATTGATAGAAGAATATTGAGCAAAATTAGTAATTTTATTATACTAATTATATCTAAAGAACGATTTCTCGCAATGTAACTGTTTAAATCAATTTTTTAATAATAAGAGAAACAAATTCAGAAGCGAATGTCATCTTTACTTCTATTTGCTTCGCAATTAAATCTTTCTCCATTGTATATTATTCTCTAAAATTCTCTAATTCTCCAAATAGGATTTATTTTTAATATTTTCGAATAAATTAAAACAAAGAAAATTTTGAATTATTTAATTTAAAGTCAATCAATTTCTTATAATAATATAATAAATTCAGTATAATTTAAAGCATATTAAAAACTATGTAACTATTAAATTCTGTGAATCTTTCTTTAGATTATTATGTCTTGTTGATTTAATTGTTAAAAAGCTCTTCTATAATAATATTTGTTTTGTATAGTGAATCACTGCATTCACATATACTATTCTGACATGACAATGGTATTTATCATTGTAACGCATCAGTCTATTGTAAATACTACCTTATAACATTATATATATATATATATATATATATATATATATAACATTGACAAGTTTTTTCTTTATCTATGCATCATCATTATTATAATTCTCACAATCAGTATTATCATCGCCACTCATATTTCAGACAACTTAAACGAAGCCCTCAATAACCTGAACACACTCAATTAGTTTCGTAATACTCACAATACATGCTAAGTATTTCGGTTACAGGGCATTTCATTTTAAGTGCACATAATCTTATCCGAATAATCTAGCTCATTAGGTGCGCTGAGTATTTTTCTTAGTATTTAAAATCGTTATCCGACTCATTGTAAATAAGCAGAATTCTTCTTATTAACTGCCAAATCCTATGCGTCTTTAAAAGAGACCGAGACCGCGAGAGAAACGGAAGGACGGGGATTGTCGGGGAAGGGGATTGTAGGGGAGAAGAGGGATAAAGAGAAAGAAAGAATTAATGAAAAAGAGCATAATGAAGCTTGCGTGGCCTCGTATGTCATGATTTCATCAGTGGTAAGGTCGTTACCGAAACACCAACGTTCACTCAGCCATTCACATACATTGCACATGCACACATCACGTGCTTTGACTTTGTTTAAAAAAAAAAAAAAAAAAAAAAAAAAAAAAAAAAAAAAAAAAAAACACACACATCCAAAGAAGCTTAACGCAGTTGATGGCAAAACATTTTTCTTTACTTTTTATCAATTACAGATGTATTATTGGATATTTTTTTTATTCTATACATTTGATCAATGTTGAGAAACTATCGCGTTTACTTGCAGAATAATCCTACAATCCAACAAATTTAATAATTAAGGTAAAAAAATATTACAATATTATGTACTATTATATTAGTCACTATGTTTATCTTAACATTAAGTATCACAAATTAGTACTTGAGTAATTAGCTCATGATCAACAGATCCTTTGATTAGTATAAGCTTTAAAAATAACAAACTTCGATAGATTATGAGAAAGCTGGTTAAAGTAGGATTAAATATTATTTATGAAAATGATAGAATTATAATGTGAGAAAGCATATTAATAACATCTTAAATACAACTATAACTTTTTCAATATAAATTAAAATATTAGACAACATAAAAACTTCATTGTTCCTGTGTTGAAACAAATCGCACAAATAAACATAAACATATGGAGCATACGAACAGTTTAAATAAATGTTTTTGCAATATTTATACGGCATCTCCTATGATGAATCTATGATGAATCATGAAAATAGATATTACGAATACTATTTACGCATTGCATTAAAGGCACTGTATTCAACGTTGACGCCATTATATGATTATAAATGCAAGTATTTTCCAATGGTTGTATAATGTTATCACGGTTTAGTCGAATTACGCTTATAGTTGATTCACGTGTTGATTGTAAGACTGACCTTGTATGAATATTATTAGAAAAACAAAGAAAAACTACTCGATCAGACTTCAATCTAAATAGCTCGATATGGTTCTTTTTCCCTTTTATAAGTTTCCAAAGTATTCCGTATAGTTTAAAAATTATTTGCAAGCTTCTTTACTATTACAGCTAAATTGATCATTGTTTTGGTTAGAAATTATATCGAGATGAAGAAGCTATTAAATATAATTAATCAGACATAATTATATGCTAATTATTTACGAGGAGTTTGTAAATGGCTTCATATGTGTATACACGAGCCTATTGTTTAACGATTGTTTCCTTACAAAATGAGATTATTATATTTATTGAAAAATCGAGTATTTATACGTAATTTTTATGCATAATATCACATATTGCGGATTTACTATATTAAGAAATTTCTAAAATTCTATAAGATGAAAGAAAGGCCTTCTGCCTTAGAATGCGTTTCAATTTTACACGAATTAGGGCTGATCAACGGAATTTATCGACAACTACACAAAAATATTCAAAAGTGAAACGGAAAAAAACTTTTCAATTCTTTAAATAAAAATAATAATCGAAGCTAATGACATTGTAGAAACCTATTACTATTATTTTAAATGTAATTATACTTAAATTATAAAAGAATGTTAAATGCATTCATTTTCCTAATCGAATTTCGCAGATTTATCCAATTCGTCATTCTTAAGATTTTTTATATATTATTATTTATTAATTATAATTAAAAAAATGGAAAATATCAATTACAAATGTTTGAGATTAATTAATTAGAAGACTGGATAATAATTATAAGGAGACAATCTTATTCAATGACAATGTTAAATTTATTATTGTTGTACATTTAATAATTTTTTTATTCATTCAGAATAAATATCGATGTTGTGAAAAAAAAAAACATCGTACAACGATATTAATTTTTTGTCATACTATATATTAATATTAATAATTCAAATTTTAAAATGAGTAAATGGTTTTATAACAATGGCTATGAATATTTTATTAGAATGAATAATAATAAAAACATGTAGAAGGAAGTGATAATTTAATTAGGAAAGAACAAAATATTTCTTAATTTATCGTTATTAACTTTTGATATTTTAATTCGATTGTCAATTAAATTATTCAGTATTATTTATTTACAAATTTGAACATGATCTATTAATGTTAAAAATTAGCTTACTAAAACTATCCATATTAATTCAATTTAGAATAGTACGCAATGATAAATACAATTCAACTACGATACGATTAAAGCAGATGTCACAAGCACTAATAAAATATTTGTCAATGATAACAGAGAATGTGAAAAATTATTACGAATTTATTCAATTTTTATAATGAGCTATGGTATAAGTAATTTACAATACTTTTCTTTTTAATTCAAACAATAAATAGTGAATTTGAGTTAAATTAATGTTGG